AAGAGGGAGAAACTCAATTCCGGTGATTACTACTCCAGCGCCGCTGCCGCTCTCGTCATGGATCGAGGTAGGTTTCCTTGATCTATTACCGATTCGTGAAATTATCTAATTCTAAGATCCATGCTATTATGATTTATGTTTACATAACCCGCCAATGGAGGCAATATAGATGTTAAGGTTGATGACATCATGACGAAGATGTTGCCCTATCCTGTTTGTTTCTTTGCCGAGTTCATATGAGAATTTTGTGGATTCTTTTATTATTGGTAAAGATAGCTTATCGTTGGAGGATGCCAGATATGCTCTTCACATGAGAGAGATTAGGCATAAGGCGTCCGGATCTGGTACATGTGGTGAAGCATCGAGGATGGCTGCTACAGGTGGAAAGGGAAAGAAGAAATCTGGTAAAGGGAATTTGAACAGAAACTCAAATTCTAAGGGTCTCGCTCCACAGACAAGCGACTCCTGTCACATATGTAAGGAAGTTGGGTATTGGAAGTACAACTGTCCCAGAAAGAGAGGGCATAAGAAGAACCAAGTACAATTTATCCAATTGGAACTTCACCTACAACATAATTCCTCTTCATGAACGGTGAAGTTTCTACAATCTCCTTCATGGATCATAGACTTCCCAATCTATCCAACCTCCTTGAAGCACTAGCTTCCATTTGAACAAAGCAAACTAGTAGACTAAATTTGCTATGAGATTTCATATGAGCTCCCAAACATTTACGCTTTCTAACTCACTATAACCTTTCTATGTACTATCATCAATTTTAATGACACATATTATGTTTCTTCGCAATAAAATCCTACATCATTCATAAAAAAAAATAGAGATACCCTCTATCACCCTATCTTTTCATCTTATGTATGAAACGTCATGCCTATAGGATTAACAAAGCAATTGCTAAGAAGATCTGGTGACCAATTCGACTCTCTAGGAACGGTCCATGATTATTGCATTTGTTTTTTTGCTGATGAACCTATCCTTTTTTGCATGTTCATATAATAATTGATCAACCTTATCAAGGCTTTCCTTGATAACTTTTGCTCCAGTTTGAGACAACGCATCAACCTTCTAAAACCAGCAATGTATGTGTCCCCAAATGTTGCACGGGATAAGCGTAGTGTTGCCGAAACAGCCACATATCGCCTGCTTGTTGTAGATTCCCATAGATTTTGCCAGAAGCCAAACATAAGAAAAATCTTGCCTGCAAGTAACGATTGAACCATGGTTACATCACAATTAAACCACGATAGTATAAAATACTCTACCACTGACGTTTCCAATGTAAATTTTGGTGCGATTTCACAATCTTGAAAAAGTCTGCCTTGGTTCAGATAAGCTTGGGCATTTGTGTCGAGTAAGTGCCACGTAGGCTTCCACGGAATTCCATATCTTGAAAATGGCGTTAGACCAAGGTTGTCAACCCGCGGGTCGACCCATTTTGACGCTGGCCCGGTGAGAAAAATGAGCCGCATGCACCCGTCGGGTCAACCGCTACAAGGTACCGGGTTGGAAGTCAATATGTGTCATTTTTTCTTTGGTTTGCGAAATACGCCTATTTTCCGATTTTTCTTTTCGCCTAACTCAATCTTTGGAATCTAAGTTGAACATTTGAATATTGATGTTATATAAGTGTGTGTGAATTTTCACTATATGTTGTATCTAAGTACGACATGTTATTTTGGTGAAATATTATATGTTATAATTCATATGTTAGATGAGATTTGATATAATTTAGGGTTAATACCCTGGTTTGGCACGAAGTTTAGCGTTAGTGACAGTTCTGGCACCATTTTTCGAATAAGACATTTATGGCCTACTTTCAAAATTATTGGACAAATTTGACCCGACATTTGGGTTGACCGTTAAAACTGACGGTCAAATATTTTCACCGTTAATGACTCAGCAAAAACGGTTAATATAGCAATGACATGGCTGCCACGTATTTTCACAAAGATTAAAAATAAAAAATCATGAAAATGAAATAAAAAAACAAAAATTTGAAGAGTGAATGTCGTCTTCTCCACTGCCAGTATTGCACCAAACCCAGACACCCACCAATCGGAACCTCCAAACTCAGTAACCCCTCCCACCAACAGAACATAATTTTGTTACCATTAAGAAAGCTAAGCTCTTCAAGCAAAGATCTAAGTAATAATTTCACTGATGATTGATTAATCCCCCCAAAACTCATAAGTCATAACCCTAAATTTGAACAGTGGGGAGGCAGCAGGGGAGCTTTGTGCGCGCGGTCGGCGGTGTAGCGGAGGAGGCAATATTCGATGCTAACTTCCCTAGTCGTTTGGCGGCTGCGCTCCGCAAGGGGAAATCTGCAACGGAACTCTTTGGAGGTTTCGATTTGGTGGTACGGAGGGAGGGCGACGCACGTCGATGACTCTTCAGCTGCTCCGGGAGCTGTCGACTTAGCCGCCGCAATTGATTTTCCTTTCTTCTAATCGAAAACAGAAGGGAAATGAGAAGGGCCAGAAGGTGAGGAGGAAGAATGGAGATTTCCGTTTTGGTGAGGGGAAACAAAGAAGATGGATCGAGAAGGCAGAAGGTGGATTCATTGGAGAGCGGCGGGAGGAGTCGGGAGAGTGAATGAGATGGCAAGATAGAAGGGATGGAGGTGAATTAGGGATCGCATCCCTCTGCCTTTATCATTTTGTTATTTATTTTCATGTTTTATTTAGAAATTTTAATATAAATAATTTAACAAAAAAAATTTAAACATTAATAAATTATGTGGAAATGATGTGGACAGCACGTCGTTGCCACCTCAATACTAAATGCTGAGTCACTGACGGAATAAATATTTGACCGTCAGTTTTAACGGTCAACCCAAATGTCGGGCCAAATTTGTCCAATAATTTTGAAAGTAGGCCATAAATGTCTTATTCGAAAAATGGAGCCAGAACTGTCACTAACGCTAAACTTCGTCCCAAACTAGGGTATTAACCCTATAATTTATTAGGTAAGTACAATATAATGACTCTTTACCTATTTTCGGGCTAAACCGGGTTAAAACGGGTGACCCATTAACCCTTGACCCACTAGCTCGACCGGGTCCGCGGCGACCCGCGGGTTGACAACCTTGCTCTACATCAATGAAATCCATTATCTATTTCATAGTGGACCCACCGATCCATCCAGTCCACCATATCTTTCCCATGCCCCTTTCTCATCGCCAAGGAGACCGCCAAATGGTAGGCTGATTTCACCGAGAAACCCCCAACCGCCGTATCATACCAAATCAGTCTGTCGTCCACATTCTCTCGCGGAAGGGGGATGGCCCGAATAACTTTACATGTACCCGGATCAAACCACTGGCTGAGCTTCAAATCACACCAGCGGCCCTCTCCCTGCACTATTAACTCAGCAACCGGAGGGTCCCCCCCTTCCGGTAATACCCTCGGGTTATAACGAATGGGTTCAAACTGGTGCTGAGGGACCCAAGTAGAGCGAAGCATGGATGCAGAACGGCCATTCCCAATTTGCCACCGCAGGCCCATCTCTAACAACCGCCGACCATGGAGGAGTGCTTCCGTATGAATCGAGTCCACCAGGTGGTGCACGCGTTTGAGCGGGGATTGGTCATGAAGGAAGCCGAGTCAGATTCGATCCCTCCAGCTCCGCAGCTGCTGATTCCTGACAAAACAATTGAGATAAATGAGTATGGTACAAACCTCGTGGACCAAGAGATGGAAAACAAAAAACGACTGCGTGAGGATGTTGAGGGGGAGGAAGTTGATACCCCAACTCCTAAAAAACAGTTCGTGGAAGACTTTGATGAAGCTGAGACCAAGTTGATACACTATCTCACAACTCACAAAATAGAATAGAAATAAAGAAAGAAAAAGAAAACTAACATAAAATGTGGGTGGAGCCCGCTCTTGCTCTTCCATTTGGTATTTCATTAAGGGGATATCTCACTTTATGAAATAGGGGCTCCAACAATTAAAGGGGAAATGAAAGTGCCACGTGGAGTATTAAATACCAACACGACAGCCGTTGTGGATGCTCTTAGGTACCTGCGTTTCGCTGGATTAGAACCGCACCTGTGAGATTCCTGGTATTACCTACCTAGGGCTGTAAATGAATCGAGCTACTCGCAAGCAACTCGAGGCTCGAATCGGGAAAAACTCGTTCGAAACTCGACTCGTTTACTAACGAGCCAAGCTTGAGCTTTGTTCAGCTCGCGAAGCTCGCAAGCTAGCTCGACTCGATGGCTTGTTGAACTCAACTCTTGAGTTGGGTCATTTAGAGCTCATGAGATGTCTCAACATTGTGGTTGGAGGGCCAACTTGATCACCGACTTATGGACGAATCGATCTAATTTGGACTTTCATAATTCATAGGATTGTTAAATTATATATCTCACATCATGTGAAGTTTAACATGTTGAACATGTAAGAAAATATGCTTATTTTTAATTTTGTAAAGAAATTATGTACAGTATTGTTTCGACACTATGAAATAACATGATTTGAACTAGTTAAAATTTATTAACTAAATAATATGACACCTACAAATTATAATATAAGATAACTAATGTTGAACCTTTGATTATTTTTTTTAATTGTTACATCAATCACATGTACCATACACACATACAAAATGAATGTATCAAATACAATCTAAGAATTTAGTAAACAAGACTAGTTCGAACTCGACTCGACTCGACTCGACTCGTTAATAAATGACTCGAGTTCGAGCTTAGCTCAGCTCATTTGTTAACTAGTCAAACTCAAGTTGTGATAAAATTTAGTTCGGCTCGGCTCGGCTCATTTGCAGTCGTCTAGCTGGTAGATTCCAGCAAGAGCGCGAGGCTCGCCCTGATTTTGGCGCAAGTTCAGTAACGGCCAGAACGAGAAAATGGAAAAGGGGGATTTCTCTTTTCGGGAAATTGAAAAGTTAAGCTTTACCGAGATTTTAAGCGAAATAAAATATCCATCACTTCACTAACCACCGCCCATTGCCCATCGTCCCCCTTGGCACTCATTCACACACACAAAAAATATCTCTCCCCTCCTTCCTCCGAACGGATCGCTCCTTCCCTTCCCTTCCCTTCCGATCGCCGCATACCGCAATGTCCTCCGTCGCCGTTGAGCCGCTCCTCCGATATCACCGCCGGACGGAGGTTTCTGGACTTCGGAAGGTTGCGAATCCCTGCTGCTCTTCGTCTTCGCTTAATTGTTCGCGGCAGAAACTGTTTCATCGCGGCAAATGCAAGCTTCGTGTGCGTCGTCGGTCCACAGCTCCCTTCGTGATCAGAGCTAGTAGCTCTTCTTCTTCTTCTAGTACTGCTCTGGCGGAGACTTTCGAATCCTCCGGTGATGTGTTCTTCCGGCACAGTTTTCCAGTCACTCAAACTGAAACGGTACCTTCTCCATTTTTCTTCTTCGGTTCATTGCTTGTTTTGATCGCTGATAAGACTGAAGAACCGGCGACGGTGCTAGGGTTTTTGAAAAGCTCAACCGACTATTTTGGTGTTTGCTACAAAATTTTGCTCCTCTGATCCTGTTGTTGCATTGTGCCACTGAAATGAGATGATGCATTGTTTGTTCTTACTAGTGTATGGTTTTGCTCCAAGTTAACGTTTAGTTTGGCCTGGAATGGTAGGTGGAAGGAAAGATTTTTGTGCGCGTGGATCAGGAGAACGGGAAAGGTAATTGGCATCTGACTGTGGGATGTAGCCTTCCTGGGAAATGGATTCTTCATTGGGGAGTCTCTTATGTCAATGATATTGGCAGGTTAGGAAAGTTTCTGTTGACTTATTAGATCTCTTCTACTATCTAGATTGATTGATTTTCACAAGAGTCTCATTTTTTTGCTTGTTCTTTTTTCATTTTGTGCTATGGAACTGGAACTATGTGTCTTGTTTCCTTGGTTTTGGTTTATATTCATGTAGACAATCAGTTGTGAAATGGTTTCCTTCTATTTTATCGAATTCGCAGCGAATGGGATCAACCTCCAAAGCATATGAGACCCTCTGGTTCCATGCCAGTAAAGGTAAATTGTTGAGTCATGATACTCCAGTGCTAGCTGCAGTGCAGAGTTTTTCAGTTGAAACTAAACCATGAAACGTGATTGTTCTTTTTTCCCCTTTTCCTCTCTCTCAGAATTATGCGATCGAGACACCTTTAAAGAAACCATCTGGAGATGATCCATTCTATGAAGTGAAGATTGATATTGATCCCAAGAGTGCAATTGCTGCCATAAATTTCGTCCTGAAGGTCTTTTTTTTTTTTATGTTTTTGTTGGTTTCATTGTAATGTTTGATATGATTTTCACCATGTGTTAGTACTGAAGTTGCTAGCTTCTTCCATTGATGTCGGTGGTGGTCTTATATAGGACGAAGAAACTGGAGCATGGTATCAACACAAGGGAAGAGATTTTAAGGTGCCTCTCGTAGATTACCTTCTTGAAGATGGTACTGTATTTGGCTCAAACAGCTTCGTTATTTGGCCAGGTTGAAACTGAAGCAACATGAATATTCAAACCATTAAGTAACTGAATTATACTTTCTTTATGATGTATAATTAGGTATGTGAATGGGCATTGAAATTAAAATTCGATGGTATGATTCTAGTTGAGCTATGGACCAGTCTTGCTATTTTGACTGTTCGCAATTGTGGACGATGAATTGGATAGTTCTAGTCATCACTCTTCATTTGGTTTCCTTTTGTTCATGTCTATTTGCTTGTGTATTAATTGCTTCTAATGGCTTACCTTGAATCCTAGGACCCTTCTTTTCAAACATATTGCTCAAACCAGAAACAGACAGTACCCTTGAGCCCGATGATGTTAAAAGAGAAGATCGGAAAGTAGAAGGGATCTATGAAGAGCAGCCCATTACCAAACATATTGCTATAGAAAACTCGGTGACTGTTTCAGTTAGAAAGTGCCCTGAGACGTCTAAGAATCTCCTTTATCTCGAAACTGATCTACCTGAAGTTGTTGTTCACTGGGGGGTGTGCAGAGATGATGCTAAAAATTGGGAAACTCCACCTGGCCCTCATCCACCAGAAACAGTTATATTCAAGGAAAAGGCTTTGCGGACTTTGTTGCAGGTACGAATAGAGTATAGGTGGTGATTTCACAGATTAAAGATCTGTACATGTGTTTGCATGATTAAAGATATCCGTTTCACCAAAAGATGAGTCGATAAGTAATATTCTGCATTACCTAAGAACATTTGCACTTGTGTCAGCCATTACTGAGACAAAAGCACTTCTCTTTTTCCTCTTAACATGGCGAAGATCTGAATATGGTTTTGTATGACTATGACATGAGACAGAAAACTGAAATTTCGTAGCATAACTAGTTTCACTTTCTTACAACATTTGGCTTCCATAGATCCATTAACATTCTATTTTCAGGAAATTAAATTTGATCAATGGTTTAGGAATTCATAATAACTATTGACAATGTCCTTCTATTTTGTTTTCTGAAACTTGTTCTCTTACTCTTCAGCCGAAGGAGGATGGACGTGGATGTTCGGGGTTATTTACCTTGGAAGAGGGTCTTGCAGGCTTTCTTTTTGTACTCAAGCTAAATGATAATACTTGGTTGAAATGTAAGGGAAATGACTTTTACGTCCCGCTCTCAAATTCAAGTATCTTGCATTCTGAGTCCGGTCAGGAACACTTTAAAGATGCAGCAGCCTCTGTGAAGGCTCTAGATCAAAATCAAGGTTCTGATACTGCCTTCACTAATGAGATAATTAAAGAAATAAGGAACTTGGTGAGTGGAATTTCTTCCGACAACAGTCGAAAGGTGAAAACTAAAGAAGCACAAGAAAGCATACTTCAGGAGATTGAGAAATTGGCTGCTGAAGCCTACAGCATCTTCAGAAGCTCCATACCAACTTTCAAAGAAGAGGTTGTTTTGGAAGAAGAGCTGGAGCAAGCACCTCCTAAAAAGAGCTCCGGTACAGGGAGTGGTTATGAAATAGTGCTTCAGGGCTTCAATTGGGAATCCCATAAGTCTGGAAGATGGTATATGGAGCTCAAAGAGAAGGCAGAAGATATAGCTTCACTTGGTTTCACGGTTGTGTGGTTGCCTCCACCTACAGAGTCAGTGTCGCCTGAAGGCTACATGCCAAAGGATCTGTATAATTTGAACTCCAGGTACCTCCCATGAACTATTTAAATGAATTGTCGTACTCTTCATGCAATAGATCAATGGAATTGATATTCTTTGGAATTGGACATAAACTCTTGCTCCCTTTTTAACATAATTTGACAAGCTTTAAATGAGACAGTCTGTTTGATTTTCCTTGACAAGGGTGCTTAAACATGGAGCCAGACGAATGATCTATATCCCATGTCCTATTCTACAAATTTTTGTTCTGAATTATTTATCGGAAAGATGCTATTATCTCTATTCAGAGCATGTGTTTTATTTTTAACTAGAAAAGGTTCAACAAGATTGTCTGAATCTCCATAGCAAACCAATCAGTTTCCAAAAATTGTATGTCAGCAGATATGGAAACATTTATGAGCTGAAGGAACTTGTGGGAAAGCTTCATGAATTGGGCATCAAAGTTCTTGGAGATGCTGTGCTAAACCACCGATGTGCTCAGTATCAGAACCAAAATGGAATATGGAACATCTTTGGTGGTCGCTTAAATTGGGACGATCGAGCAGTTGTTGCTGATGATCCACATTTCCAGGTACTTAAAGTTGTATGATAACCTATAGTCCACTACTCTCCTTCTGCAATACCCTTTCAGCAGCGTTTTAATTAGGAGAATAAAGGGCTACAGAGCTGGTCAAATACTGCATCAATATTTTATTTTAACTTTGGCGATTTATGTTCCGAATTTTAGCAAATGGAATTAATGTACATGCAATGGAAGGATAATATTGAGCTTACGACCTGTAATTTCCACTTGATGCTTTCGATCCAACTTGTAAATGAGATGCAGTGCAGGATATATGTGCGTAACCTATTTGCTCTAAGATGTAAATCCCTGTTTCCTTCATACAGGGTAGAGGAAACAAGAGCAGCGGGGACAATTTTCATGCTGCCCCAAACATTGATCACTCGCAGGATTTTGTGAGGAAGGATATCAAAGGATGGATGCGCTGGCTAAGGTGAATGAATATTCAATTCCCTTTTAACTTTGCTTTAAGAACCGTAAATATTATGCCTGCACTCTCCTAGTGATGATGATGATGATCATCATCATCATCATCATGTTTCTTGACACTGCTAAATCTACCAGTTCCCTTTGATGTGCAGAGAAGAAATTGGTTATGATGGTTGGCGGCTTGATTTTGTCAGAGGATTTTGGGGCGGCTATGTAAAGGATTACATGGATGCAACCAGTCCTTATTTTGCAGTTGGCGAGTATTGGGATTCCCTCAGTTATACTTATGGTGAAATGGATCACAATCAGGATGCACATCGACAAAGAATTATTGATTGGATAAATGCAACAAGTGGATCTGCTGGTGCGTTTGATGTCACCACAAAAGGGGTGCTTCATGCGGTAAGTGCTCAATCATTCCTGGTCATAAAGATGTGAGCACATTTACTGCAGAGTGGCAATTGATAAGTGCCGCTGGTTTCACCAAAAAGAACATATTTTACATCTCCACACTGGGTAACGTCCATAATGCCTTAGCCACTAGGAGTAACTTATATGTATATGTTTGTCTAGCATATCACCATATTTGTATGTATATGTTTGTGTAGCATATCATCATATTCCTATATATCTTACTTCAGCTGAAAAAAGGAATATATGATGAAAGCTTGGCTTTTTAATATGCTTTACTTCTGGCTTTACCGTTACTAGTGCAGACTATGTAAGCTTAAAAGGGAAGATCTATTTCATGCAGGCACTGGAAAGATGCGAGTATTGGCGTTTGGCAGATGAGAAGGGAAAACCTCCAGGAGTTGTTGGATGGTGGCCATCACGTGCTGTTACATTTGTGGAGAATCATGACACTGGCTCAACTCAGGTATATAATAACTTAATGCCTTATCTCAGACGCGAATGATTGGGGAAGCAATTGGTAGTCTGCAAGGCATCATTTGATTTGCTTAGGACAAGGGGGGAAAAAAACAATTCCAGCTTCTATTTCATGCTCACTTTATATCACAATGCTGCTGAATTTCTCTAGGGTCACTGGAGATTCCCAGGTGGCAAAGAAATGCAAGGATATGCGTACATCCTGACTCATCCAGGAACACCTGCTGTATTCTTTGACCACGTTTACTCTAATTATCGCTCTGAAATTGCTGCTCTCCTCGCTTTCAGAAACCGCCACAAACTCCATTGCCGCAGCATAGTAAGTACCTCGAAACTCCCTGCTTTCAGCATTCCTACATTATTGAAGACATAATGGCATGACGACATGGAGTCATATTCGACAATGGTCTATCGTCAATGAAACAACAAAAAAGCTCAACTTTCAAAATAGCACTGACCGCTTTGGCTTTTGCATATTTTAGGTACAAATTTCGAAGGCAGCAAGAGATGTGTACGCAGCCATCATCGACGAGAAAGTGGCAGTGAAGATTGGTCCTGGCCATTTCGAACCCCCTAATGGCCCACGAAAATGGTCACCGGCTCTCGAGGGAAGGGATTACAAGATCTGGGAGTCATCCTAGTGCATCTACTCTACACAAGAGTATCATTTTGCATTCTAGCCAAAGCGTATTTAGTATACAAATAGGTTAAGACAACTTGTGTGGCGTAATGTAGCATATCCATAAGTGGGAGAATAGAGAGCCTCCGTATAGCAAGACTGTTATTAGTCTACGAAATTGTTACTAGGTGGGAAGACGATCGTCCACATTTATAGTCTTTCGATCAGCTCGGCTATGCCTGCACACTTTGTGAGTCCAACTCGCTCACGCACGATCGTTCCACTGCATTCGTTTCGCAAACTAAGGACGATCTCCATCCGTTACTGTGATAGTCTAGAGTCCCTTTCGGAAGCTGCAGGCAGTACAATTTGCAGGGATGCCAGTTCTGTCGTCGACTCCTTGGAAGTTTCCAACTGTCTTCGTTTCCAAAGGGTGGGTTGCTTGCCCTGGAATTGGCACAAGTGAAGTACTGTTGCATAGTTGCTTGAAGCTGAAGTCAACTGGCTGAGAGGAATGCGCTCACTGATCCCATCTCTTGTGCTACTGAAATTAGCCGACTGTCCGGAGCCTGAATCTTTTTCCTGTACGGGTTCTGCCCTCCAAGCTTCGATCAGTTGAAATCTACGAGTGCTGTAAGCTCATAGCTTGGCGAGTGGCGTCATAATTGGGACCTGCAGTCACCACCCACTCTCTTGTATTTGACAATTGGTCGGATGAGGCACAACACAGATCGAGAATTACAATTTCAAATCGAGGAATGAGTGAAGGATCAAGGATGCGTTGACAATAGGGCAGCAAGAGCTATTGTCGTTTTGGGAAGATTAGCAACAAAACTTTTACTCTTTGGTCTACTAGTGCAACACGCCTCACTTTGATTAATCATGCCTCACATCAATAAATCGTGTTTAGTTTTGCCTAAGCATCAGTTAGACGTTACGAGCGCCTAATTGTCCACCTAGGACATAGGCGAGACGATTTTTTCACTGTCTAGGCATATGCGGAATTACGCCTTCTTGAACCCTGATTTTGTAATACAAAGCATACTCTCTTTCCCGCACGGATTTCTCTTCAGGTCCGGCGACGGTTTGGGCTGGGTAAAAAAAAACTCTCAATTTTCAAGCACTCATTAAATATAGATATGATGAAATCACATTAAAAACTCTCATTAATGAGAACTCTAAATATTAATTTAAATTTACTGCATAATTATGATTAGTTTAGACTTTAGACAAAGTGACGAAGTTGAACCGATCTCATCCCGCTACACCTTGCCTTTTGCTGTTCAGATAAACCCATTTACACGTGTCAAGGATTTACCACGTAGGCTTCCACGTAATCATAGGTTGGAAACGACATGGGGAACCTGCGTTCTGGTGGCTTATACAAGAATGGAGAAAGATAGCCCGGCCCTCTGGAAGGGATAGAGACGGAGTCGGGCAGTGGACGAAAAAGTTAGTCTCCTAACTGATGTCTTTGTTAGGAGATGCTGACACGGTATGGATTTTGTCCACGCAAACCCAATTGAGATCCCACGGGTGCAAGAGATGGGCTCATTTAAGTGGGGTTTTGTGGGTTTTTTAGCCCAGCCGAGAAAAGAGAGGGAGCTGATGGGTGGCGGCTCGGTGGGGTCCAGTTGTCAAGGGCGGGAGAAAGGGAAAGAAGGGCCCAAGTGGATGATTTATTTGGGGAAAGAAAAGTAAAAAAAAAAACCAGAAAGTGGTTGGAATTTAATGCCCACAACCACTCAAACCCGAAAATTGCCTCTCTCTCTTCAATTTTTCTCTGTTTTCCTTCTCTTCCAAAGGAAGAGAGCCGCCGCCCAACTGTATTTTTCGGCGACCATCTTTTCTTTCCGGCAAGTCTTGTCCACGTTCTAGGATGCCGATCGACGACAATGGGGAGTTGGATGATCAAGGATCTTCTCCAATGAAGAAGGATAAATCGATCGTACAAAATAGTGAAGAAGAACTCTATCCTACATCATATGAGTTTGTTGATGAAGATTCAAGTGGTGCTCCTGCCCTAGATGAAGAAGAAGAAGAAGAAGAAGATAAGGTTGATTGAGTAATATATATGTTTGTGTTGTTGTGAGATTTGTTGGTTGCATTGAATGTTTGATGTTGAGATTGTTGTGAGAATGGCATTTAATGATGTTGATGTTGTTATGGGTGTTTGATGTTGAGATTTTTGTGAGGATGGCATTTAATGATCTTGATGTTGTTATGGGTACTGATACGTGGGTTTTGGATACGATTTACTTGAATGTTTGATATTGGTCTGGACGTGGTGTCCTACTGTTTAATGCATTATTTGATACTAGTCTGGTAGTTATAGATATTATTTATTGAAAGTCTGGATATTTATTAAAGCCTATGTATTCTAACAGTTTGTGGGTAAGACTTCGAGCTATGTTGGATAGTTAGTAGTCTGGGCATATTGATTTCATTTGTTTATTGGACAATATGGATAATAACATGCCTCATACCATTAACTCGCAGCTCATAAGACGTTGGATCTAGAAGACGAGGAAGCGAGGAAGAACATCTTTTATCGCACTAAGGATGAGTGTTTTGATTTCTATAAGCGCTACGCTCACAAAAAAGGGTTTGGTGTTCGAATAGATGGGGAACACATAAGAAAGATCAAGAATTCTAAAGGAGTGGTGGAGAAAAATTATGCATACCTTTATTACTTTTGTAATAATGAAGGCTGGACTTCCACAAGCAAAGTCAATGTGGATAATCAGATACAGCCGGAAGACAAGGTTGAAGAGAGAATGGTTTGCAAAAGAAAGAGGCCTCGAGTTAGGGATGGATGTCCCGCCCGTGTTCGTTTTGGATGGGATGCTGCTAGGGAGGGATTTGTGGTGTATGAATTCGTCGAAGCCCACAGTCATGGTTTGCACTCTACCGAGCATATGCACTTGCACAAGTCTAACAAGTGCATGAGTGATGCTCAGAAAAAGATGGCCGAAGCTAATCGCGATGCCGGGATGAGTCTTAGTGCATCGTATCAGTTATTTGCTGATTGTGCTGGTGGCTATCAAAATATGAGATTTACCAAATTCGATCAGAAGAACCACTTGAACACTAAAAGGCAAAGGACAATGGCTCGTGGTGAAGCGACTTATTTGTTGGACTACTTTGAGGACCAAAAGGACAAGCATCCTGGCTTCTTTTATGCTGTAGAGGTGGATTGCGATGAGAGAGTTGCTAATATATTTTGGGCGGACAGTAGGATGCGTGAAGATTATGCACTTTTTGGAGATTCGGTCTCCTTTGATACCACCTTCCGAACCAATAAATACTTTCGTCCACTGGGTACGTGAATCGTCTAATTCCCTTGAGTTCTTTCGCATGGATGTTTTTAGTTATATTACAGAAATGATTATGAATAGAATTGGTCCTTGGTGGTCTGATATTGACATGTGATGCCATGATATTTGTTTGTACCACGACGGGTATTAGTAATCCTTCATACGATATTAGTCTGGGCTTTACTGATATTGATTGGCATATACTGTGACACTATCAAGACCTAACACATAGGGCTTGCAACCTTAGTTAGGGCTGCACGCCGAAGGCCCATGAACCAATAATAGTAGGAGAGGAATCGTGGTATGTTTTTATACCAGTATGGGTATTATATGTTGTTTACTATTCATCACCTAATTCGTTTGAGTTTTTTCGACACTTGTTCGGTTATGCATTGTTATTAATAGTTGTCTTGTGCAGGGATGTTTGTAGGTTTCAATCACCACCATCAAACTTGTGTGTTTGGAGCTTGTTTAATGTATGACGAGACTACTCCGTCGTTTGAATGGTTGTTTGTTTCATTTAGTCGATGCATGAAGAAGAAGCTCCCAATCACTATATTTACTGATCAGGACGCAGCCATGGCAGCTGCCCTTAGAAATGAGTGGCCTTCTGTGTTTCATGCCCTCTGTACTTGGCACATCCTCATGAATGCCAAGAAGCATCTTCGCAAGGACAAGGCATTTTGGAAGAAGTTCCAACATCATATTTCTTTTGTTTTCTACGACGTCGACAGTGAGGAAGAGTTTGACATGGCATGGAGCACCATGGTTTCTGATTGTTTCCCAAATAGCGACATTGCGGATGGCCATCAATGGTTGGAACGTTTGAAGAAATTTCGTCATCGATGGTGTTCTTTATGGTTGACAGATCAATTCACAGCCGGGATGTTGACTACGCAAGCCAGCGAGTCGTGCAATGCACAAGTGCGACTTTTCTTAAAGCCGAGGCATGATTTGGACTTGTTTTTCATTCACTTTAGCAGGTACACACACGCAATATGACTTTTCCTTTCTATGATATTAGTCTGGTAGGGTTGGATATTTTTATAGTCAGTGTTGATATTTCTCTGCAATGTTGAAATATTTGTTTATCCGTTCTGGGTATTGGTACGGGTCCTTGAGGATATTAGTCTGGGCACTGAAGTCCTTTTTCTTGCTTCCTAATTGTAGTTTGTTGGCTGACAAAAGACGCAAGGAGACAGAGTCAGACTACAATGCAAAACAATCGGTTCCTTATATAATGTTGGAGAATAGCCCGATCCTCCAACATGCGGCAAAGATCTTTACTCCAAACATTTTCGATCGGATACAGAAGGAGTATTTGGTTATTGAATCCTATATAATGGAGAAGCTCTCAGATACTAGGGATGATGGCATGATTGGCTACCTCATATATATGATGGAGGATGGTGAGCGTAGTGATGAGCGGATCGTTCTCGTCGATATTTCTACGACGACCTTGGTATGCGAATGCAGAATGTTCATAACTTTAGGAGTGTTATGCCACCACATGATTAAGGTGATGCGGCTTCTTGGAGATTTTGGTGAAGCAAGTATGAGAAGTATTCCAGATCATTACATACTCAAGCGATGGACGTTGGAGGCGAGAAAGAGAGAGGTTGTTGATGTCGATGGTTCTGTTGAAGGTTCTGTTGGTCCTTCAGCTGCCAGTGAGAATGATGCGGGAAAAGGTATAGCAATGCGGTACCGGGAAACCACTGCAATGTTGAATCAGCTAGCAACGAATATGTCGATGGCTGATTACAATAAGTGGATGGGAGTACTCAAGAAACTATGCAATGAGGCAAACAAGGCATTGTCAAAGACTATAACTAGCGAGGACAGTAAGTATATTCACTAATAACATTTGTAAATTGTTAGAGTTTAATATCATTGCATTTACTAAATTCTCTAACATTGTAGGACGATCTGTACCGATAACTGGGCTGACTTTGAAGGAGAAGAGTAATCCAAGGAGTCACGGTAAGGAACATTACAAGTCTACGAATGAAAAGGAACGCCATCGAAAGAAACGTGTTTATAGGAGGAGAATGAAATCCGTTGAAGTGGTCACGCTGGACGACAATGCTCAACCGGATGGCCATCTTAGTGATTTGGATGATAATATTGCTCAATGGTTATGAATAGAATGTAGGGTGGTTCGAGAGTGGTCTATTGTGATATGATATTGACATGTGATTCCAGGATACGTTTTTATGGTGCAGTGGATATTAATCCACTTGCTTAGGATACTTGTCTGGGCAAACTTGATATGTCCTGTAATATGTACAGATATTAGTCTGGGCTTCCTGGATATCGGTATTTTGGAAGCAAGTACAATAGTATCAATGATTACTTCTTTCACTATTCACATGTACAGATATAGATCTACTATAAGTCTGGGCTCCAAGGATATTAGTCTACAAAAGAAGGGTATTTGTCTGGGCCTTAAAGATATTAGTTTGGTTCTTTCGGATATCTGTCTGGATCTTTCGGATATCTGTATGGGTTTTTCGGATATTTGTCTGTCACTTTGCAAATATTTGTTTCTATAAACTTGGTATTTGTCTGGGCTGTAAGGATATTTGTCTGTTCTTTAAGGACATTAGTCTACAAAAAGACATATATTTACCCTCCAGGAAACAGTATATTTTTCAATCAGAACTTATGTTGGTAATTATATCCAACATCTGGCAAAATATCCTCCATCCTGCTGCAAAACATCATACCTCCGTAAATATTATCCAACCCTAAATAGCATTCATCCATAAATATTATCCAAGCCTAAGGTCAGTTTTACAAACTAATATCACAGTACACAAATCTAAAATCACATTCTCTTCCTTCTCCCTTTCTCCTTCTCCGCATGCCATTCTATTGCACATTCAATTATTTCATTGTTGCGGCGGTTATTGTCCCATAAAAGGAGATTGGCTGCAATCCGTCTTCGCTGTTCCTGCACATGTGGCTGCTTGTGCCAACTTGCTTTATATTCCACTAGAAGGTGACCCGCCCAGTGCTCCATGTAAAGGCATGCAAATACACCGCAATCATGGTTGCCTACTTGCTGAGGAACGTCGGCAATGTTGAATGGCCACTCATCCAATGCACAATCAACCCCCTGCTCTTTGAAGAACGCCGCCGCATACCCAAAAATCACATTACCAACTGGTCCATGATCCTCCTTAGCCACTAGGGCATTGGGCTTTTGGCTGTCAAGTACGAAAGTCCTCCAAACTACCAGATTAATATCCAGAACCAACAATTTGTTCAAGCCATTCCAACATGGCAAAGATAAAATCCCAACAATAAACAGAACCAACAATTTGTTCAAGCCATTCCAACATGGCAAAGATAAAATCTCAACAATAAACAGAAATCTGAATGTTCAAGCCATTCCAACATGGCAAAGATAAAATCCCAACAATAAACAGAAATCTGAATGTTCAAGCCATTGCCAACATCATTTGGTTCCTTGATGGCGCAAAATGACAACTCTTCAAACACTATCCCGCCTTGACTCCCATACATCCATCATTTTTTCAGTCATGGACTCCAATGCCTTAAGCTACACATATATTGGGGGAAAAAATTAGTTCACTACATACACCCTTAACCCACGATTTTGAGTTGCAGAGAGAATATATACATACCTCATCATCATCAAGTTTTTCCAATTCATCATCCTTCCACCATTCAGCAGTAGAAGCCGAGCTGCTTGATCCTGATTCCCAATCCCTCTTGGCACGTCCTGGACGGAAGCGGGATTTGACTTCTTCTCTTGACAACAACATCGGACCAAGAAGATATTTGTCAGCTTCCTTGGGGATATTCAAGCACACCTTGTCCACCCTAGGGTCGAACCAATAGCTGCAGGTAGGGATGGTTTTTGTGGCAAACCCTCTCACATTAAGGAAGTCCAGCAAATGGATCTACAAAAAAAAGTTCAAAACAAATATCATAAATGAAAACAACTATTATCCCATGCACGGTTATTAATATCACAAGCACACAAAATATATATCAGAAATAAAAAGAACTAATATCCTAAGAAACGATACTAATATCAAAGGAAAAGAAAACATATATCAAAAATAAAAAGAACTAATATCCTAAGAAACGATACTAATATCGAAGGAACAGAAAACATATATCAGAAATAAAAAGAACTAACATCCTAATCAACGATACTAATATCAAAGGAACAGAAAACATATATCAGAAATAAAAAGAACTAATATCCTAAGCACATCAAATAAACAAAATCAACAATGTTAAAGGAGAAATTACCATTAAGAAGTGGATATCTCCGAGAGGCCATTGCTGTCTACCTTTAGCCCTTGCTTCAGCTTCGTTTTCCTTAGCACGAGACAACTCAAATTTCAAATTGCGGGCCACAAAACCACTCCAATTGAAAGTGGCAATGTCTTCCACCCTTCCAACAAGGTACTCAGCATAATCGAGATCACAAAGTCGTGACATCTTTGGGACGAGCATCGAACCCATAGCCAGCAACAAAAACTGCTTCACTGTGGCTGCAACAGGTGGTCTCCTTTTCGGTCCATCATCTGGACCACCACATGCTGCCTCTCTAAGATGCATGACTTCGACATTTCGACTTCGATTACACTCGATGTTGAGCTCCTCCATGAACATATCAAGCATCTTGTCGTTAGACCTACCGACATCAATCTCAGCTCCACCAATAGGAAGGCCATAAACACGGGCAACATCCTCAGCTTCGATTGTAAGCACCTTCTTGTTCTCCCCTTCACCGAAAATGAATGAACTGGTGACCAAGTCGTAATGTGCCATCAAGGAATCGAACAACTTCTTAGGAAAATTTGCCAATCGAAGCTCCAATAACCCTCCAAATCCAGCCTTCTCCAACTCTTTTTTGCATGCTTCATAGTACCTTGGCTCTTCCTTCCAGTAATTAATAACATCTAGCACAGATTTGGTATGGCACCGAAATCTGTACCACGGCTTGCCTTGTCCTAGAATATTATTTCTTTGTGCAGCTCCTTGTGCAGCAACTTCAGCATCTTCTTCCTCATCCTCCTCTCGCGATGGCGGTGGATTCCGTCGCGCTCTCTTCGCGGTCATTTTATTTCTGGCCATTGATAAATCCATGCACAAACAAATATACAGATATATCAAACAAATATTCAGATAAATCAAACAAATATCCAGATATGTCAAACAATATCCAGATAAATCAAACAAATATCCCGATATGTCAAACAAATATTCAGATATTTAAAACAACTATCCAGGCAAGTCACAACAGATATCATGCTTGCCAAAACCAATATCCAGATATATATATCAAAGAAACAATCCAAGCAAAATAAATAATATAATGTCCGAAATCTGTACCTCGGATTTTTCCGACCTCGAGCTGCTCCTTGTGCAGTTGTTTCTGCTTCGACTTCATCATCTTCTTGCGCAGCTCCTTCTGCTTCGGATTCAGCATTTTCTTCTTCCTCATCTTCCTCTCGCTGTCGCGGTGGTGGTGGTGGAGGGGGTGAAGTCGGTGGCGCTCTTTTCCCGCTCGTTTTAGTCTTTGCCATAGATAAATCACCTGCAAAGACAAATACCCAGATCCAATAAAACAACTATCCAGGAAAGTGAAAACTGATATCATGCTCGAACAAAACCAATATCAATACAAACAGAACTAATATCGGCACAAACAGAACTAATATCGACACGAACAAAACTAATATCGGCACAAACATAACTCATATCGACACAAACAGAACTAAATATCGACACAAACAGAAAGCCATTCCACAAAACCCAGAAATAAAACGCACAGAAGAACGAATCATGCAACCCTAACTCAAATCTGTCCAATCGAAAACTAATATCCACGATCTATGCTTGAAACCTTACTTGATCAAGAACCCGAGTTCCCTGCAAAGCGCCGCCGCCGAGATTGTTGCTTCGTCGACGACGACAAGATCGCTGCCGCCGAGATCGCAGCCGCCGAGATCGCAGCCACCGAGTTCGCTGCAAGGTCGCCGCCGCCGAGACCTCCGAGTTCGCTGTAAGGTCGCCGCCGAGATCTACAACTTCGCTGCTTCACTGACGCCGAGAACTCCGTCGCGGTAAGGTCGCCGCCGCCGAGTTTGCTGCTTCGTCGCGGCCGCCGAGATCTCTGCCGCCGACTTCGCTGCCGCCGAGATCGCTGCCGCCGACTTTGCTGCCGTCGAGTTCGTGGCCGCCGAGTTCGCTGCACCGCGCGGTCGTTCGTCTGCGTTTGGGAGAGGAGGAAAGGGAGAGAGAAAGGGAGAGAGAGGCAGGGGAAAATCAATTTGGCGGAGAACTGAAAAGGGGTAGGGTTTAGGGTATTTTTTTTTTAGTTTTTGAATTAGTGGGCCCGGCGCCCCTGTTAGCATCTCCTAACAAAAGCCCTTGTTAGGAGCATAACTAGATTGGGCAGTGGAAGGAGTAACAGTGGCGGAGGCAAAAATGTTGCTGCTGAACTCGCTAGCTCCTTCTCAATTGAGTACCCAAAACCCTAAAATTCCCCCTCAGCATTCTCTCGCCTCATCACAGTCTCACGGAAGCTTTCCCATTCCTGCCAAAAGATGCGCCCTTTCTTTCGCTAGAAAAGCCAGTAAGGGCGGGAAGCTCGCCGTGAAGTGCCGCCAGTCGTATTTCGACCAGCAGAACTTCAGCAACAGTTCCGGGACTACTTCAGGGAATAGTTCTTTTGCTTCGCGGTCCCAGGGCGCTTCCAATGGTACATCAGAACAATGGCATATGCTTGCTTTGTTCTTTTCTTTTATGTATTTGTTATTGGGTTGCTTCTTGATATCATCGTAAAGTAGGAGCTTATTTCATTTCAATATGCGAACAAAGTTATATAGATTGAACTGGGTTCGAGCTAGCGGTAAAGTTTCTACCTTTGTTTTCCATGACATAAAAGAAAAGCCAGTTGTCATATGAGCGCAAGCACATTGGTTAATATACCCTTTAATCCTGCTATCCTGTGATATCTGATTCCTTATTCTTTTTCACATTGGGTTATAGCTGGGGAATCGCCTGCTAGGGTTTATGTGGGACATTCAATATACAAAGGGAAGGCTGCACTTACGGTGGAGCCTCGAGCACCGGAATTCACAGCACTAGATGTAAGCGTTTTGCTTCATGCTTGTTCTTGAAAAGAGTGTTAAATGGTGTATAAGTTAACTAGCTATCTGAGAGTATTCTTCTTTTGTGATGGTGGAGTGTTTTCTTTCTTTGAGCGCTGTTTGATATTGCCATTTCCAGTCGGGAGCGTTCAAGCTTGTCAGGGAAGGTTTTGTGTTGTTGCAATTCGCTCCTGCAGCTGGAGTTCGCCAGTATGATTGGGGAAGAAAGCAGGTACTTCTTTTGGGGAGTATTAAACGGAGTATTTGATTACTTAGATGATCAGGTTTTCGGATCTATAAGCTTGTGAAACGGGAATGAATATGATCCTTGGGGGTTGAATGGACTCTGATATGTACTGTCTTCAAATTGCTTATTTGAACAAGCAATGCAGTATTTACATTGCATTCAACAAACTGTGGAAGCAATATAAAGCCTTATTGCTTTTCATAAAGCTCCCTTTACATGTGGCAATGCAATCATATCAAGTACAAGTACTTCTTTCCGGTTAGGTTTAAGTGAGGGTGATTACGGGTCTTGTAGGTGTCGGCTATATCTACATGATTGTATGTGCTTCAATCCAAAGTCTAGTCAAACTTCTGTCTCTCTGGAACATAAGATCTCTTACTTCTGTTTGAGAGAAACTGCTGTAGTTTCTTTGCTTTGGGACTATACATGCCTTTGCAGTTTGTACTCTTAGACTGATGTTTGATTCTCCATGCCTTTAGGTATTTTCCTTGTCGGTTGCAGAAATTGGAACTGTAGTGAGTCTCGGTGCGAAAGACTCCTGTGAATTTTTCCATGATCCTAATATGGGGAAAAGGTAATGCCAAATTCTTCAGACACTATTTAGAACATTGAATGACGACATTAACTTTATTGACATAGGTACTATTGAAATTTGAACTGATAAGGAGACTTCCTTTGACATATTCTACAACCACTAGTTTACGGTTGCTATATTGTAGCTGATAGTTCCTGAATTTCTGCTTTCTGTTTCTATCCACTTCCCTTCATTGTAGCTACAATTAGTTGCTCACAATCTGTACATATTTGAAGACTCAATAATACAATAGATGGGATTCTCAATACATTTACATGAACTATGGTAGAACCCTTGATTTGAAGAATCTAACTGAAATTGGTCCTTTGCAGCGATGAAGGTAAGATCAGGAAGGTATTGAAGGTAGAACCACTCCCAGATGGTTCAGGCCACTTCTTTAACCTAAGTAATCTTCTCTCCCCTTAACTCATTGTGTTTCATTGTAGTCAGCTTGGTTGCCTGACATTACATTTCGTGATATCTTATAGGTGTCCAGAACAGACTCTTGAACATGGACGAGAGCATTTACATTCCAGTTACAAGGGCAGAGTACACTGTCCTTGTCGCAGCTTTCAATGTACGTCAAACTCTCACTCTCTCTCTCTCTTGGAGATGGTCCTATGAACATAATTTCTGTATGAGGTTTCCTATCTTGTCTCCTTTTCAATGAACACGTTACAGAAGTTAGCATATACCATCTGGGAGGTCAAGCGACAGTTGTTCAACGATAAACTCCACTACTTAGCCCTAGAACCTTCTAATACATTGTCTAGTCATACTGGCATCACGAAGAAGTTATAAGATGCAGAAAAGTAACAACATTTTCCAAATTCCCTGGTGTCAACGTGACTGAAGATGGGTTGACATTGATTGCTCTGCTGAATTGGTCTTAGCGAAAATAGTATAGAGTTCCTTATTCTTCTTTCTCTGTCTTCTTTGCAGTACATCTTGCCGTACCTGATAGGCTGGCATGCATTCACAAATTCACTAAAACCAGGCGACTCGACCAAACCAAACAACGCCAGCCCGAAGTTTGGAGCAGACTACGAATGGAGCAAGTAGTTTACTAGTCGAGCCAATTCTAGTAACAACTTGCGGGACCTGCAACATGTCATATACCCTTGGAATGGAGCAAGTAGTTTACTAGTCAAGCCAATTCTAGTAACAACTTGCGGGACCTGCAACATGTCATATACCCTTTCGTGTAGTCTTTTCCCGATTAAGGGATGCAATCATCCTCTTGTTATCATGTTGGTCATTGGTGAAGGTCAACAAATTTTGCTTCTTCCGTAGTTCTTTCTGTTTCGTGGGGACTTGATTTATGTGTATTGTAGGGTGTAGTGCTTTTCTGCAAGCTAACTATATTTTTTTTTTTGACAAGGGCAAAGATATTTCATTTCTATCAGTAGAAGCATAGGTTACAACAGTGGCGAGATTACATCAAGGACATGAATCCATTCCGCTGGGAGTTGGTTCTTTGCACACGAGCGTGCCACCCAGTTCGCTTTGGAATTTCTCTTTCTGGTGATATAGTTGAACCGAATAGCAGGATGTTCGATGGCCATTTTCTTGATGTGAGTAATCCACACCGCTGCGCGCCATGGCCAACTCTCTTGACTGCTGGAGAGTGCCTTGATTAAAGTGAGGCAGTCAGTGAGGATCCTACATGGTGCTGCCAGTGACGCGGCCAAGCGCGTTCCTTCCCACAATGCCTTTGCTTCTGCTTCAAGTGGTGAAAAACAATGCGTGGACTCAGCCTTCCCATCACATACCTGTCCGTGGCTATTCGTCACAACGACGCCAAAAGCCGCCTCCTGTGAATCACCAAAGAATGATCCATCACAGTGTATCTCAAAGTCATGAGTACTTGGCGGTGGAGAGGAACGATTAGGGGGTGGAGTGTGCTGAGTTTGGGGTTGGGAAAATCCAGTCTTCTTGGGGCAAGTTGTCCATTGGAGATATGCAATCTGTGCTCTGGATGTAGTGTTGGGTGGCCAGGGGAGAATACCTGAGAAGATCCGATCATTTCTAGCCTTCCAGGTTTGCCACATCTGGAAGATGATACGTTGGATCGAGAGCCCTGAGAGTCTTGACTGCAAGGAGAACAACCAGTCCAAGATGTTGGTGAGGGGCGGTGGGAGACCTAGTCCTGGCCAATCGTTATTCCACCCTGTCTCTGCGTGAGGACATGCGAAGATGCAATGGTGAATAGATTCCGTTGTGAAGTTGCACAGGGGACAGGCTTTGGATGGGGAGCATTTTCTCACGAACAGGTTCTCTTTCGAAGCCATTGCGTTTTTTGCACATCTCCAAAAGAAAAACTTCAACTTTGGGGGGATAGGTAAATTCCACAGCCATTTCCATTTTTCTTTTGCTGCTTCCGGGAAAGGGTGAACCTCCCCTTGGCTTCTGCGTGAATGGTTGTGAATGAGATGGAAAGCAGACTTAACCATGAAAATACCTTGTTCCGAGAGTCTCCATGCCCAGAAATCTGCCATTGTGGCGGGTTCAATAGGTGTGCCCGCCGTGAGGAGCACGTCATGGGGGTGGAGGAAGCTTCCCAAAAGGTCAAAATTCCATTCTCGTGTGATAGCATTGATGAACATGGCTGCCTTTGACGAATCATCACCCCTGTGTGGAGTTAGGGTCCCTGGGCGATCAAAACGCCATGGATCTTGGAACATTTTCGTTGTTTCTCCATTCCCAATCACTCGGATCACTCCCTTCTCCATCCAGCTCTTTGCTTCCCAAATGCTGGCCCAAATCCAGGAGGCTTTGCTTCCCTTCTTCGCTGATAGGAAGTCTGTTCTCGGAAAATAAATGCTCTTTAGAACCTTAACCCATAGTGCATCAGGGTTGGTCAAGACACGCCAGGCTTGTTTCGCAAGAAGAGCAAGGTTGAAAGCATGGAAAGGTCTGAACCCTAACCCTCCTTCTTCCTTTGGTGCATACAGAACATGTCCCGCCCTCCAGTGTATAGACCTCTTCGAAATGTTTCCTCCCCAGAAGAAATTCTTGAGCATGGAATCCATTTTGTTGGTGGCAGATTTTGGGAGGAGGAATAGGCACATGACGTAGGACGGTAGAGCTTGGAAAACAGCTTTTAGGAGTGTTTCCTTACCTCCTGGTGAAAGCAGAAGGCTTTTCCAGGATTCTCCTTTGCTTTCCATTCTTTGTATGAGAAAATGGAATGTTTCCTTTTTTGATCTTCCCCATTCAGTAGGAACCCCAAGGTAGCTTGAGTGGCAGTTTGACTCTGCAAATCCCACTGTCTGAATGATTCTTTCTTTCTCATCCTCAGCCACATTTCTGCTGAAGAAAAATGAGGACTTCTCTCTATTGACTTCCTGTCCTGTTATCGATCCATAATCATTGAGAATCCCCTGTAACTTTTCTGCTTCAGTAGTTGAGGCTTCTCCAAAAATAACTGTATCGTCAGCAAAGAGACAGTGAGTGAGAGTAGGACAGGTCCTATTGAGTTTGAGGCCTCTGATATCTCCTCTTCGGACAGCTTTCTCGATGAGGAAAGAGAGGGCATTAGACATCAGAATGAAGAGCAGGGGGGACATAGGGTCCCCTTGCCGAATGCCTCTGGTAGGGATGAATTCCTCTGAAGGCTTTCCATTGAACAAGATTCTGAATTTAACTGAATCGATGTAGGTTCTGACCCATCCACACCAAGTGTCATTGAATCCATATGCTCTGAGCAGATCAATGAGAAAGTCCCATTCCACCAAGCCGTAAGCTTTCCTCATGTCTAATTTCATCATCATGTGTTTTTGTTGACCTTCCTTGTGTTTCTTAAGATGGTTAAGGACTTCATGAACGATCACAATATTATCTTGAATCTGCCTTCCCCCTGTAAATGCTGACTGTAGTTCATTCACCAGCCCTGGTAAATGAGGCTGAAGTCTATTAGACATGATCTTCGTGATAATTTTATACCTGAAATTGCAGCAACTTATTGGCCTGAACTGACCAATGGTTTCTGGTGCTCCAACTTTAGGGATCAAAGTGATGAATGTGTCATTCCAATCTGATGGCATGGTGCTCGACCTGAAGAAATTGGATATTTCCTCACAAAGTTTGTCTCCCACAATGTGCCAGTACTGCCTGAAGAAATGGCCTGGAAATCCATCTGGTCCTGGTGCTTTGTTGGCCCCGAGCTGGAAAACTGCTTTTCTTATTTTATCCTTTTCCAAACTAGTATTTAGCAGTCGATTGGTCTCTGTAGTAACCAGCATTGGGAAATCGTTGAGAAGGGTATGGTCGAAAATACCATTTCTGCTAGTGAAGAGTGCAGAGTAGAACCCATTGATATGTCCTTCAAGATTCTGTGTCAGGTTCAACCAGTTCCCCGAGCCATCTTTTAGTTTGTCGATTCTGTTTCTGGTTCGTCGTTTGATTGTGCTCGCATGGAAGAATCCAGTGTTTTGATCCCCTTCTTGAAGCCAACTGTTTCTGGATCTCTGAGCCCAAAATTCTTCTTCAAGATTTCAGTTAGCTTCTAACTCTTTTAGGAGCAAATTTTCTTCCTCAATTCCCTCAGCGTTTCTCGTCGGCCCTTTTAACTCTTGTAATCTTCTTCTGATTTCCTTTTCTCTTTTTAATTTTTTTGCTCTCTCCATTTTTGCCCAGTTATGGATTTCCAGGCGGCATCGGCTGAGAGTTTCATTTACCTTGTCCCCTCCCCTCCAGATCCTATCAATGATCTGAGAGCAATCCCCATTTTCCCTCCACCTATCTTGTAACTTTGGATGCAAATCAATTCGGATCGGACAATGATTCGATTCAACAAAGTCTTCATGGTAGACCTTGGCATCTCCAAAATTCAGTCTCCATTGAGCCGAGCAAAGCCCTCTATCCAGTCTTTCTCTAATCAGTGCTGCTCCTTGTTGATTATTTGACCAAGTAAACACTGATCCGGAGAAACCTAGATCGAGAAGGGCATTCTGCGAAATGAAATACTTCAAGGGGTCGACATTTTCATTCCTCAGGGGGCACCTCCCCTGTTTTTCAAAAGGGAACAATGCGACATTCAGGTCGCCAACTATCAGCCAACTAACATCATGGGAGTCTCTGATGATCGTGAGTCGATCCCAAAGAGCTCTCCTCTCCACCGCCGTGGTGGGGGGCATGGACAAAAGTACAAAAGAAATCTTCCCCTTCCCTACTAATACAAACATCCATAAAGGATTTACATCTATCCAGGACTCTAATACTCACATCTTCCTTCCACCATAAAGCCAAACCACTCCCTTCGTCTGCTGGGTTAACATACTTGCCAAAGTTGAACTTCAGAGCTCTCCTTTTGTCCTCCATGAAGTTTTCATCCTTCCTGGTTTCCATTAAGAAGAGAACTTATGGGCCAAACTGACGGCACAGCCTGCCGCAGTAACTTCTTGTAAGGGATTGCCCGAATCCCCTACAGTTCCAGCTCAGAATTCTCATCCATGGTGAGGCGGCTCAAGGCTTGCCACCGCTGCCCTCGGAGAGATGGATTCACCTTCTCCGGAATGATGCCCTTCTGCTGTCAGTTCCGCCAAACTCCTTCGCCTTGTGATGTATTTCCTCCTCTCGTATGTCTTTCTGTTTTCACCTGGAACAAAAGCCAAATAGTCAAAAGAGATGTTAGCCGAGGTCTCCGATTGTGGGACTGGGCAGCTTGGGCTGACTCGCTCTGGTTTCCTTTTCTTCTCGGGCCTGGTTCTGGGCTCTTCCTCTTCTGTTGCCGCTTCTTTCCCCAGGTTAGTGATGGGGGCCTGATCTTGTGGGGTAAAGATTGGGCCGGCTGTTGTCTGGCATGTTGAGCCCATGCTGGTGGTGTCGCGGACGTAAAATGGGCTAGCTAGAGATAGGGAACGGCCCATCTCAAAAAGTCCAGCTGCCTTGTCTTTGTTCCTTCCTCCTTCCCCTAGGTCGAGCGACTTCTGCATTGCTTTAGCCGTAGCCTCCATCTCCCTCTCAAGTACTGTGGGTTGATAGTTGGTAGCTTGCAAGTTGACTTCCCCTCTCTGGACCCATTCCGTGCCTGCTCCTGCTGTTGGCAGAGCCATTGCAGTGTACCCTGGTGGGGTCAAAATGGAGCTTTGCCCAGTCTGTCCTGCAAACTCCAAAAGGGACATTTCGCCTCGGGGGCCGCGAATTAGGCCTGTGGGGTGGCCGGTTAGGGTTGGTCGGTTGGCTCTTGCCATTTTCTCCCTGAATGAGGTCGGTGGTGTATTCGCCGGAGAATCATGGCCGGCCTTCAAAGCAGCAGTATAAACTTCAGATGGTTCGATGCTGAATCCCCTCCTCCTGTGATCCTCTCTCTCAAGACAGTTGTGGATCAGGTGGCCAAGTCTCCCGCAGAAGTAGCATAAATCCATAATCCTTTCGTATTTGAAACTCACCCATATGGATTTCTCACCTAGCGGGTACTCGAATCCGATCGGTATGGGTTGGTCCAGTTGAACCTCCACCTTGGCTCTGATGAACTTAAGCCACCCCCTGAAGTCAAAATTTGACTGATCAATGCAGTGGAATTGTGGGAAGATGTATTCCGCCACAGCTTGGATTGCTTCAACATCCTTGAGAGATTGCGGCAGGTCGTGCATCTATACCCAGAGGGTCGTCGTTGTGATGTCTTCTGCTTCCGCCTTTTGTTCTCCGTCCCATTTTTTTAGTGCCACCACTGTGTTGCTGAGATTCCATGGTCTGGCATCCCAAACCGCATCTCGTTGCTGCTGGGATTGGAATGAGTAGACAAACAGGTTCTCTGCTTCTTTTGTCGTCTGTACCTCCTCGTATGCTCTCCATTTGCTAGTGGCAGCATTCTTGGCCTTGTGCAGGTTGATGCTGGCGTCTGTGACCCACTTTCCCAATAACATGGACATGCCGCTTCCTCTTGCACCCACAATTGTTGGCCTCACGTTCAGGATCAAATGGCTCCTTTCTCCTCTCACATATGGTGTGTTGTTCTCCATTCTGGTTAGGACAGAGATGACTCGCTGTTGGATTTGGTGATTTCTGAGGTTTTGCAGTTGAAGTTTTTTTGGATGGTTGTGATGATGTAAAGGGCCTTCGAGTTCATCCTTTAAATAGGCCAGGCAATCCAACTGTTCGCTGACCCTCCTCCCCCTCATAGCATTGAATGTTGGTGATCTTGCTTCGCCGTCCTTGCCATAGCCTTCCTTCTTGGTGCATGTCAGGTGGTCTATTAATTGCCATTTATGGACTCTGGCTGGTGAGACAAATATACCTTCGTAGTCTGCCGTGGATTTAGCAGTCTGTTGTCGAGGAGATCGTACCTTGCGTGCAGTCTCCTTGCATTTATTCTTTCCCCTGGGTGGATATTGCCAAGAATAGACCAATTTAATGAATATGCTTGTTGTATGGCCCTCCCCTGTGTCATTCTCAGGTGCACCTTTAAAGTTCTCCTTGTAGATCTCGTCTGCTGTATGGATTTGTTGCTGCACGCCTTTACTACCTTTCTTGTCATCTGCCTTCCCTTCTTTACTGCTATCTGATATCCCTTTGCCTCTTCCCCTCTTCGATTTGTAGCTGATTGGTTGTGATTCTGGTGATTTGGGCGGCGGAGTTAGTAGTTCTAGCTGGGCTACTCCCCCTTTGGACTTCTTCTCTCTGTTTTGGCTAGCCGATTGAGGGAAGGTCTCTTCATAAATGAGGATCTGACCATAAATGACCCCGATATCTTCCTTCAGCGCTTGGTGAAGCTTCCTGGTCAGAGCTATGATTTGATTGATGTTCTCGATGGCAGACGGAGAGAGAGTCCTCAGGTGAGGCACATTGAATGCTCCAGTTAAGGCAGCTGCAGAAAGCCAGAGGAAAGAATTTTCCTCCGGTGTATCGGAAAAGGGCATAGAGAGAGCGTGAGAGAGAGGAGAGACGTTTTTTTTGCAAGCTAACTATTGAATGAGATAGTTTCCAGGTAGCTACAGTGGAATGTTGGTCTCTTTAGGTTAGGTGGCTGTTCAAGCATATGTTAGCTTTTTAGGCTGCTGCTGCTGGGGTTCGACCTGATCCTCTAGAGGTAAGATATTGGAAGAGTCGTGCCTCGTGACCCACCCGACCAGAAACAAGTTGGAATGATTTGTTTGTAGGGTTGATTGAATGATTGTAGACTGAAACAGCTTTCCTAAATTTCCTTATTTTCCTTCTTCATGTTGTTCTCCAGCGTTCACCTCCTATACAACCGCACTCGTATCAACCTCAAACAGGACAGCTGAGAGCTGAGACAACAAGCGGAGGCAGAGGCTTTTCGCCTCTGTCACAACTCACAAGAGGCAAGTTTTGGTATAAAAAACAATGAAATCTTTATCTATACTTATAATAATGGATCAAACTCAAGGTGGCATAATAGTATCTTGCCACTGTACAAAAAACTTAATTCTTGTTATATGTATTGGATATAAGGTTGTCAACCGCAGGTCGACTCGCGGGTCTTTCCACTTTGACTCTGACTCGTTGAGAAAAACGGGTCATATGCACCCGCCAAGTCGACTGCTACAAAGTATCGGATTGGAGATCAAATTGTGTCATTTTTTCTTAGGTTTGCGAAATGTGCCTATTTTTCTTTTCACCTAACTCAATTTTTGGAATCCTTAGTTGAACATTTGAATATTGATGTTATATAAGTGTGTGTGAATTTTCACTATATGTTACATCTAAGTACGACATGTTACTTTGGTACAATGTTATATGTTATTACTCATATTTTAGATGAAATTTGATATAATTTATCATAATAAGTACAATATAATGACTCTTTCCTATATTTCCGGGCTAAAATGGGTGACCCTTTAGCCCTTAACCCACTAACTCGACCGGGTCCGGGTCAACCCACGGATTGACAACCTTGATTGGATATTTACAGGATCCATTCAATCAATTTTGAAGGCCCTGCTCCAATGATAAAATGTATTTTTAATATAATAAAATGGTTTTTTAAAGTATCCATGGTATATATGAAATCGTTTGATAAAGGCAAAATACACTTGTATAGTCAAAACTTTCGCGTTTGTGCCAATAATAGCCAAATTCGGAGAAATATCACTTAATAGCCACTTTCGTTCAATTATGTAACGGTGTTAGCATTAACTCTGACTGGACAAATGGAGACGCTGTTTTGGCGAGCTCTTATTTCCAATTTCCTCAGTAATTATCCACGTGAATAATGATTAATTTAAAAAAATTTAATTGACCAAAAATAAAAAGCACTTGACCCTTCCTTCTCTGTCTTATCTCCATCTTCTTAGAGCCACCCACCTCTTCGCCTTCCGAGCAAGATGAAGGCGGGAAGTCGACGATCTGACCAATACTAACGGACGATCTGTCTCCGACAACCCTCGTTACCTCTGATATTCCTTCCTCCGCCATCGATCTATCCCCCTCCAGCCCTCCTCCAGTCCCGATTTTCCTCCCACTATAAAAAGATAGTCATTACCGACGCCACGTTTTTCGTCGAAATAAATCAATTTGCGTCGGAAATGACCTTTTCCGACGACATATGATAGGCTGACGTGGTCGAAAAATATTCCGTCGCTAATAACATATTAGGCAAATTTCTTTGCAAATTCCAAGAGGAGTCAGTCTCGCATCTCATGTTTTCGGGTTCTTTCTCTACAGAAATTTGACCGAAATTCACAAAGATGTTTCAATTTCACGATCATGTTCCAGCTAATATAAGTTGCTTTCTTCCATCTATGAGAGACTTATGGTATGACCCAAATCTTGAAGATTGTGTCAAGTTCTTATCACATGCAGTATTTCGGTCCATCTGGAACGATAAGAACAATAGAAGTTTCCCGTCCTTGAAAGCTTCACACACTGCATAGAGACACATAATCGACTAACATAGCAGAGCAAGAGGGGATATTCGAATATGGAAATTTGAAGGTGGAAGAGGGATTAATCGAATCCGACTTTTGAAGCTCGTCTTTGCCCTCTGCTGAAGAGGGAAGAAGACGACGGAGAAAAGAGTACAAAATGGACTTTTAATTTTTTCGGTTGAAAATCCATACCCAAAGCAAACATTGGATTTTATCCAAATTCATTTGTTGTATTATCTGCTTTTTCATATGTGGAATATGGAGTGACAATTTGAGATTTTTCCTCAAGATTGGTCAGATGAGTGGTAAAAATGGTTAGGAACTTTTCCTTAAAAGAAAAGGTAACGTACTCTTCGGGTTAGATCCGGTTCTTAAGCCACAATCTTTAAGGAGAATCTTAAAATCATTCTAGCCAATAGGAGGAGGAGAGATATCATTATTATTAATCATTGGCTAACTACATACAAGGACAGAAATGAAATATAAGTACTAATTAATGTCATTATTAATTAAAATGAAAACCATCTCTCTCCTAAATTAGACAACTATTAAATATGGGAATTAAAAATATAAATTCTTAATTGATATTTAATGTTTTAAAAAAGGAATTTTAAAATAAAAGATATTCACTTTCTCTTTCGGTAGCGTCTTGCGGTATCATTATTAATATTTTCAATGGAGAGAGATGGTTTTCATTTTATGAAATGTATTATTGATTATTATTTCTATACACATTATTATTAATAATTTTAATACAATTATCAATGTTTTAATATTATAAATATTTACATCAAAATATTGATAATGACACTCTTAATCATTAATAACTAAGTTGTGTTGGTGTTGAAAATACAAGCAAAATCATTGATAATGATTATATCTAAATGATTATACCATAGTACATATTATTAATAATTGTCTTCTCAAAATAGTGATAACCATATAAAAACTAAAAATAGCTAACTTATGTTTCATTTAAAAAGCAAACAAAACAATTGATAATGATCATATCTCATGGTGATTAATCATACTACATATTATTAATAATTCTTTCTCAACTATTGATACACTTATATAAAAAAATAAAATCATTGATAATGATCATATCTGATGGTGGTTAATCATACTACATATTAGTAATAATTCTCTTCAAATATTGATAACAATATAAAAACTATTAATAGCTAAGTTGTGTTGCATCAAAAAGCAAACAAAGTCATGATAATGATTATATCTAATGGTGGTTAATCATACTAAATATTATTAATAATTCTTTCTCAAATATTGATATGCTTATATACCCACCCATCAGCAATCATATAGCTTGTCATTAACAATACCTATATAAAAAACTTTAACAACGTTGTTGTAAGCCTTTCAAAAGGAAAGAAAAAAAAGCTATTAATTCTTGGCTCCTAGCCAATTCCTTATCAACGTAAACACGTTAACAATCAACTATGAAAGGTTAATAATCGGTACAACAATGCAATAACACCACTATAAACCTTTAACAACCATAAAATGCTGGTAGTTAATCTTACTACACTCTTAATATAATAATGATGATCATAGTAATACTACACTCTTTATATAATAATGTGTTACTACAGTATTAAAAATAACACAAAGCTTTTAAAAAATGACAAATCATTAAATAATTGCATCGCTCTAATACCGACGAATATTATGGTTAGTAAACATTAATTCAGAATAAAAGTATTAAATTTTTTGAAAAATCATAACATAATAAATTCCTTCAAATCCGGCCACTCTCCGTTAATTAATTTCAAAAATACTTTAATGCCCAAATTACCCATAATTACTCGATAACCACTAACAAAATATTTACCTATTATACTTTGAGTCAATAAAAATCACTTAAAGATTCTTCTTAAATTTTTAGGCTTTAAGTACCTGAATATCCCGGAACTTTTAGTCTTATTTTTTAAGATGATTTCCAACGGTGGGTGAGGATTTGACCGTTAGGCCTTGTTTGCTTCAAGGTCTTCATCATGGATTTGGTGCACAAAACTCAAACCTCATGGACTTGGAACAGAATCCATTGTTTGCTTCAAGGTTTTAGGAGAGATAAATCTGTGGGGCCTGCAGACTTTGATGGTCCAAATTCGTGGGTCCCACGAACTTGCAAATTCCATCTCAAGGGGTGGGATTTTGGTAGGGGTGGGCAACGGGACGGGACGGGATACCCGTCCCGTTTGAAACGGGTACCCAATCCCGTTTGGAGAGCAAAGTCAATCTCATGTCCCAAACCCATAAGGGTTAACGGGTACCCGTTACCCGTACGGGACGGATAACGGGTACCCAAACTACCCGTTTAGCAGGGTAACAATTACAATGCTACACCTGCAACTGAAAAAAATGAGATTTTTCCCAGAAATAGCACTGTTCAAAAAAAAAATTCCAAAAATAGCACCCAACTCCGAAAAATTCCAAAAATAACACCATTTTTGTAAAACTGGAACCCGGAGGTGCGTTTTTCGATGAAAACCGCACTGGTAGGGAGCGGTTTTGCAAACCGCACCCCCAGGGTGCGATCTGTCTTTTTTTTTTTTTGCAAACCGCACCCCCAGGGTGCGATCTGCCTTTTTTTTTTTTTTTGAAAAATCCTAATTTAGGTGGAAACTTCAAACGAACGTATCTTTATGTTCGGGTATCCGATCGTCGCGATTTTTTTTTTTTGATTCCGCATAAATTTTTGAGATCTTGCAAGCCGAAGACTGCCAAAGGTGGTTTGGTCTCGCCTTCGTCCCAAAAATGTCGTTTGCTACCCCGAACGAACTTTTTCTGATTTCGTCAAACTTTGGACAACCATAACTTTGTGCTCCAAAATCCAAACGGCATGAATTTTTTTTTTATTTCACATAAAATTTTTTTTATGTGAAATAGTCCTTAAAAAGTTATGCGAAATAAAAAAAAATCATGCCGTTTGGATTTGGAGCACAAAGTTACGGTTGTCCAAAGTTTGACGAAATCGGAAAAAAGCTCGTTCGGGGTAGCAAACGACATTTTTTGGTACGAAGGCGAGACCAAACCACCTTTGGCAGTCTTCGGCTTGCAAGATCTCAAAAAGTTATGCGGAATCAAAAAAAAATCGCGACGATCGGATACCCGAACATAAAGATACGTTCGTTTGAAGTTTCCACCTAAATTAGGATTTTTCAAAAAAAAAAAAAGGCAGATCGCACCCTGGGGGTGCGGTTTGCAAAAAAAAAAAAAAAGACAGATCGCACCCTGGGGGTGCGGTTTGCAAAACCGCTCCCTACCAGTGCGGTTTTCATCGAAAAACGCGCCCTCGGGTGGCGTTTTCATCGGAAAACGCACCTCCGGGTTGCGGTTTTACAAAAATGGTGCTATTTTTGGAATTTTTTCGGAGTTGGGTGCTATTTTTGGAATTTTTTTTTTGAACAGTGCTATTTCTGGAAAAATCTCGAAAAAAATGCATAGCTGCTGTCCGAATTAAAAAAAAAAAGAGAACCTGGGAAGGGAGCTTTAGAGAGTAGACAATTTTCCTCATAATTCCAGCAGGTCAATCTATTTAGAGTTCTCTGTCTCTTCCTAGAAAAATACTAAAGTAGTAAACTGTAAAAGACTCCATCACATAAACCTATTTTGTTCCATATCCTACTAACAAAAGGCAACCGATTTTAGTAATTCCTCACGGTGACAAGTGTTGATAGTAACAAATGTATGATTGCGCGGATAGTACGGGTACCCATAATACCCAAACGAGTATTAACGGGTAACCCGTGGGTACCCATTATAGAATTTCTTCATCCCAAATCCCATCCCGTAAAAAAAATTACGGGTATTTGAGTACCCGTAACCCTTAAAAAACGGGACGGGTATGGGTATACCCATATACCCGTTTCCCGTTTCCCACCCCTAGATTTTGGTGAGGATGGGAAGTCCATGATGGAACTTTACTCTTTTATCCCCACTCATTTTATTAATGACAAATTTGTCCTCTTTATTATTGCTAACCCTTTAGACTAGAGATAACGAGAGACCCGACAAGAAGTGGAAAAAACGTGAAGGAAAAACACGAAGAAGATGGTGGAATGTGCTTGGACTTAACAAGCATCAATTTGTGAGAAAAAGAAAGACAAAAATTCTATAATTGTAGGGTACATCAACTAGTTTAATGATGTGTGGTAAGTTGTAGTTGTCTATTTGAAGTAAGTGGGTATTGGTTAACAAACTAACCATGATTGAAGCACTTTGTTTAAAACTGAAGATTAGTTTATGCTCAATATTTCAAATCTTCTATTGATTTCATATTTGTTTGCATATATGATAGCTTTGAGCTCTTGAAATCTTGGAGAGGTACGAAGAAATTCTAAACGGCTTTGTTTATATGAAAACAATAATATACAAATAATTATAAACAAGGGCAACTTCCATCATAAATCATTGGTTTTATAAAACTCAGGTTTTAATCAAAATGTTCATTTTCCAAATCCATGAAGCAAACGAACCTTAATTCAACCCGGCACAAATCATTGAAATCTTATTCAGATTTCGTCAAAGGGATCTTTGATTGACAAAAGTCATTGACAATTCTTGAGTGAATACAAATTTGGTATTGATGGCAAAACAAAACATAGGGATTATCATATATGATTCCTCTAAAACAACCGTAACATACCGTTTGGTACCAAATGCATCTAGAATTCATTTCATTTTAAAATGAATTACCGTATAGAATTCATTGTCAAATGAATTCTTGTGTTTGGTATATCATATTCAAATCTTAAGAAATAAAATGAATAGAATCCCAAACCATGTTTGGTGTATGTTTGTAATTGAATTGAATTAAAAGTTTCCAACTACGCCCTTATTAATTTTCGCTAGAAACAATATTCATTGAAAATTCATCTTCTAAAAAATGCTTTTGGTCCCATATATACGTAGAATATCAAAGTGTTCCTGTGTGTTTCTATTCTATTGATTAGTTCTTTCGATATTTTGTTAATGAACCCTACACTCTAGTTGTGGCTTCTCAACATATTGATAAAAGCAAAGCAGAAATATCAAATAACCAGAATATGCTACTAGCATTGCAATCAAATTCTTGCCGACATTCCTCATACTGCATGAATTGACGTCAAATAATACATGTAGAATTAATTTAGTTAATAAATATGGATAATTATGTAATTTTGTTATAAATAGTAAATTCTTGTGGAATTCATTTGAAAATTCCATCCCAATTCCTCGGAATTGCTATAACTAGCTCCAATTTCTTAGAATTTAAAATTTAGACTTGGAAATGAATTCTTTTAAATACCAAACAAAAAAAGATTTCATTTCCTTAAAATTTATGGAATTCATTTATATCAAATGGCACGTAAGTAACGTTTACTTATGATATAAACTTTATATTTCCTTCGCAATCTCAATCGCTGTCGTAGTCCTAGAAGTCCGTAGTCCAGAAGATTCATTAGCCAGGAGTTCTGCAATCCTGCGTCTGTACCGAAGCTCCATCCCATCCGCCGGTCTCCTCTACCGGCTGGATTCGCCTCTGTCGCTCCGATAAATAGCACCGGCCCGTGTCCCGTAACCTATGAGTTGTCTTTGAGCTTCCAGCTTTCGTCACTGATTCTTCATGTTCTGATAAGGAGATACGCGCCTACCAGTTAATTATTAATTAAGTACAGTCTCTCGGTTTCCCTAGCCAGCTATCTAGATTCCATAGCCCGCCTCTGCATCAGCCTTCAAGAAGGCGCGCATAGGCGCATGCCTAGGCTTGATTAGGCGTGAGGCGTTGAAGGAACGCCTTGATTTGGACGTAGGCGCTGTTTTTTGTATGAAACGTAGGCGTTGTTAAAAGCTTTACCTGCACATAATAGGTGTTAATTGCATATTAATCCCGCCCATGGTTGTCAAACCGGGGTCGAGCTGGAACCGGACACAAAAGGGGCTAGAGACAGCCATATTTTGAGCTAGTCGGCAACCGGTCAAAATCGGGATCTGACCGGACTTATCCAGCTACCGGCTATTATGGATACGATGACGTCTTGGGATCTTCTCATTTAACCCTAAAGAGCCAACTCTGGCTCCTTCCCTTCTGTCGAGCGAAGTAGTAGTCGAGCCGTCGCTCTTGTCTCTCATTCGTCTCCTCCCAAATCACCTCCTCCTTCTGCCGACGTTAAATCCCGGCCCCAACATTCGTGCCTCTCCCTTCTCGATGCCAGCTCCCCGCTTCTCGAAACAGCTTGCCGGCCACCGCCTCGACGTCAGCTCCCCGCACCTCGATGCTGCACCCCGACCGCCGCCTCGACGCCAACTCCCCCCAATCGGCCACTCCGGTGCTTCTGTTAGGTATTTCTTAGCAGTGGGTTTTTCTTCTTACTGATATAGAGAGTAGAGGAGAAAGGAAGATAGATATTTTGTTCATTTGTTGGGTTCTCAAATTGATCACTTGTTGTAGTTAATTAGAGTGGAATGCGACAGGTTGATAGATGATTTCTTTTTAACAAAGGGGTACTTTTTTCATGTCCACATAAACGGTTATAGTTATAGATGGAGTTGATTATGTTTTGTTGTGTAAATTGCTTAATTAATTGTTTTAATGTGAGGATTTATAATTTATATAAATTTAGGTTGTATTGAGAATTTGAGATTGTATGATGTTATATATATATATATATATATATATATATATATATATGTATGTATAATTTATTAGGTGTATTTCCAATATTAACTACTTGTATATTTTGTCAAAACCGCCTTAATCCGGTTAAACTCCGATTCGATCATTAAACCTCAAATCCCCTGTCAAACCGGTTTGACAACCTTGATCCGCCTAATTCTGGATTAAGCGGGGCCTAGGCGAGATGAAGAGGGCCTAGGCGCTGGCCGAAGAACTTGACGTTTCTGCGTTTTGGCCGCTGTCTCCACTCTCCGTTTTGGCCGCTGTTCTCCCCTCCCTGTATTTTGGACTTTTGGCGAGAGTACCATATCATAACGCAGCAAAATCACCTCTTTCTCTATCATTCGACTTTAGGTTAGAACTTCCCCTCAAAAGTCAAAAGAGACTTTAGGTTAGAACTTAGAACTAGAAGCCCTTCCTTCTCACCTGCTCGGATGCCGTAGCTGCTAATCGATCCTTCTATTGCTCACCAGTTGGCCACCGCAGGAAGAAGCCAACAGCTCGGCCGCAGCAGGAGGAAGCCCGTCGCTCGCCGCCGCAGGGAGAAGCTCGCCGCTCTATAGGTGCCGTTATTAGTTCTGATCTAGACTCTCGATTATTTTTTGTTCTCCGCTGCTGTTTATCTCTTTAAGCAACTCGGTATCGTTCTAGAATTCTACTTGTACAAATTGCACATTTGGAATTGCAATGTTAGTCTTTTTTTCCTTGTGAAGTGCTTCTAATCTCTATTATTTGATTAGTTATGGTCTGGATAACTTATGAAATTCCATCACGGAGACCATTGTCTCCATTCCATTGCTTTTGACATTTTATAAACGTGCGATTCTAGTAAATAGTCACTACTTGCTTGTTATTTGCTAGGTTAAACCATTAAAAATTAGTTGTTTCTAATTTATATGAACTTGTGATCATATGAAATATTCTAGAAATCAAAAAATATTTGAGATTTTTTTCCATTTTAACTCTAAACGCCTAGGCACGCCTATAGTACGCTTAATCAGACTAGGCGCAAGTCAGCAACCAAGCGCTCGCCTTACGTCTAACGCCTTTTTGAACCTTGCTCTTCATCACAGTTCCTGCCACTGGGGAATGCTGAAGAGGACTTGACTTTGGCGCCCGTTCGAATTCTCCATAAAAAATAGCTTTGTTCTTGCAAGTACAGAGTGAGTTCAAATGGGGAGCCTCTTAGGAGAAGGAAGTGAAGTAGATGAGCTGGACAAAGATTTGGAGTATGCGTTGCAGGTTGGTGAAGATGAATTGGACAAAGCGTTGGACTTGGCATTGGAAGATGGTGAAGATGATGAAGACGACGATGAAGAAGATGAGAGAGATGGGGATGGCAATGAAGTGGAAGGGGCAGAGCAAGGACCGGAAGCCGCACCCTTGGTTTCAATGGAAGGTGATGGTCCTGGTATGGAATTTTTTCAGCATTCCCTGTCTCTTGCATATGAAGCTCTAGCAGAGAAGAAGCGTCGAGCACTTGCTGATTCTAAAGGGTTAGTACTCTATTTGATGTTGGTTTTGGACTGAGGTTCGAGTCCCTAGTTAAAGTAACAATATTGAAAGATGAAATTTACTCCTTTCTTCTGGCTGAATGGTGTACTTCTTAATGGCTCAACTGAGAATTGGCTTAATTATGCCCGGAATATACTCCATAATTGTTTTTGAAACGTTAAGAGTTCTTCAATTTGTTATGCTGGTAAGTGCTTTCTTTGTACATATTTCCGAGACCTTTTTCATGATCCTTTAGTAGATGGTAATTTAGTGTGCTGTTGTGAACTTATATCCAGAACTTGATTCTTGAGTTGCTTCAATTAAGGTAGTGAAGGGTCCACAAAGAAGGCTAGGCTAGAGGATGCTCCTGAGGCTACCTTGGAAGACTTGGAGGCAACGTTTGGCAGTTCGCGAAGGAGGAAGTCACGGAAAGTATGCCTTTTGTCAACTCTTTTTTTTTTTGTTTCATCGGTCTTTGGAGCTCAGTAAAGCTTCAGAGTATAGAGTTTTATCAATATGATAAAACAAACACATGGCTGATCACCGATTCATTGTTTGTCTATAATGCGTTTGAGACAAAAATCCATTTCAACCTTGATGAATACATTCTTTCAGCCATTGGTGTGCAAATCTCTCTCATTGTGATAGATTACGTGTGAACACACTTGTTTTAATATGAACCATATTTTAAATAGTAACTCTTTCTTTGGCAAGCAACTTCCTATGATCTGGTTGGCTGTCCTTCGAAATTACTATGACATGTGACTTCTTCATTGCTCTTGTATATCTACCTTGCTCAGCGGAGGAAGAATGGTAGGCGCAAAGGATCCAAAAATAAACTTAGCCAAGAAATTTCAAATATGCTTGCTGATGCTACTCTTCATTATGTGCATCGGCGTTATGAAGAGGTATACTATCCAATGAACCCCTTCCTTCTTTTTTCCTAAAATCCCCCCCACCCCACAATTTCTAGTGCTTGGCTGGCCATCCACTAGTACATCTTAGCCCTTTATCCTCGTTATTGCTTGGTGCTGCAATAAGAAAATATGATATGATGAGGTAACATTTTGGATTTACTGGAGGCTGGAGCTCAATTTTGTCCTTAGGAACTTTGTGGATGTTCATTGGTCTGTATCCCAGTAAGTGAGCTCTTTTAAATAAGAGAGCATGGAGGGTGAGGCTGAACATAATCTCTTTTGTTCAAACGCTGTTACCATGTGTTCTTCTCCATGGAAGGAGCGGGGATGTGCGACCTTTATTTTTTGTTGTTGTTCGTTCTGGTTTTGACTGTGAGTTGGCTAATCTTTTAGTTATATGATTTTGAAGTTCCGTGAATATTTGGTTTCAGGGCATAGCTATTCTAAAAGAGGTTCTTAGGCTGGCACCAGTTGTACCTGATGCATATCATACACTTGGGCTTATCTATGATAGGCTTGGCAATTCTCAGAAGGCTAGGGGATTTTATACGCTAGCAGCACTCACAAAGCCCAAAGATCCTTCTTTTTGGGAGGTTCTTTTTACCTGGCACAAGTATGTCTCTTTCTTAACCAACTAGAAAATTAAATGGGAGAAAGATGGGAAGTCTCATGTTTTGGCAATGAAATGCAGAGAACAAGGAGACTTAGCTCGTGCGGTGATGTGCCTTTCTAGAGCTGTACGGGCTGACCCCAGTAATATTTCTTTGAGGTCTAGCCTTACAAATCTTTATTTTGAGCTTGGAAATTATGCGAAAGCTGCCGAGACACATGAACAACTTCTACAAATTTGCCCAAATGACTTGAGAGTTCTAATGACAGCTGTGGAGGTTTGCTTTTATATTTTTTTTTAGAAATTTGTTTCATTTTGATGCTCTGTTTTTTGTTCCATCCTGCTCTTTCACATTCCAAGTGGAAAGAACCAATTCTTGCCTCATGAGCCATGTTGGAATTGGGAAAACAAAAGTGGGGGATCTAATAGCTGTTTTGTTAAGGTCTTATGAAGGACTAGTGTTTTGTCACACCAATTTCCTCTGTTTCATATTCTGAATGTTGTTTACTATCTTGCCATTTTGCATGTATTCTAATTTATTCAAGGCAATTAAATGCGTTTTGAGATCTGAAATCTATCTATACAAGAATTCTTACAAGGCCCTACTAATGTTATTTTTCAGTTGTACTCCAAATGTGGCCAGATGGAGCGAAGTGTGAGTATTTTAGAGTGCTATCTGAAGGATCATCCCTCTGAAGTTGATTATTGTGTGATAAATATTCTTGTTGCCATACTGATGGAAACAAGGAACTATGATAGTGCTCTCAAGCATATTGAGCATGCGCAACAGGTTTACTATCTGGGAAAGGAAGTGCCTTTCCCTTTGAGAATCAAAGCAGGAATTTGCCATGCCCATCTTGGAGATATCGACAAAGCAGAGGTATGAAGCCTTGAATTCACTGTACTATATCCTTTTTTAACCCTGCCCCCATGCAGAAGATGTTACAAAATAAATAGTGACTTAGTGAGCTAAATCTTATACGCTTTGACTTGCCTTGTCTCTACCATTGTGGGATATATATTCAGATTCAAGTCAAGATATTATCTAGTGACTGTAGTTTGAGAAATGTTTTTCTTGTTTGGTGTAAAAGTACATTGTTAGGATTTAGGTAAAACAGAAGGTTGACATACAAGTGTTTCTCTCTCTAAGATGAGTTTGGGAAACCGAACACAGTTTGGACTACTAGATAAGCTAATCTGATATTGAACCATTGGACACTATTTAGAATTATGGTTAAAAATGTGGTTCATTTTACATGCGCGCAGGACATGATTTACTTTAGGACTAGAGGATTTGTTTTGTTTTACTTGTCCCTAATGCTTCTCCTGTGGGCTTTAGTCTTTCTTCTGTAGTTTGCAAAAGGAGAATGTTGCTGCTTGTTCAGACCTGATCACTGAAGTTGCTGATGCTTTCACAAGTCTTGGCCATTTCCACTCTGCGTTGAAGTATTATCAAATGCTAGATATAAATGGCAAACATGTCAACGTGAGAGTGCTTTGAAGCATTGTTTACTTTTCTCTCTGAGCAGTGTTCAAACGTCTGTTATTTTGCTGATGTTGACTTTTATTTGGTAGGACGGTTGCATACATTTCAAAATTGCCCAATGTCACTTATCCTTGAACAATAGAGTGGAGGCAATTAAGTATTTCTACAAAGGTAAGTACAAGTCTCATTGTGGTTTTGCATGACTAATCAAATTCTTTTGAAATAACTAATATAGATCTGGTTCTTGGCTGTCGGTTGTCTTGCTGTCGTACATGTTGATTGAATTTCAAGGTTTCAACGACAAGAAAACACAATATGGTCTCTTTTTCAAAGATAAAAGTACTTAGTTACTGGAGAAGGAAATTCTGGTGCTAGATGGAGTAGAACAGTGATCTATATTGTTAACCCTTGGTTAATCTACATTAGCTTGGACAAAAAGCTTCTATATTTTTACTGTCGTATGCAATTGAACCTTGAACTTAATATATGCATGTCGTATTGTCGTAAATTTGCATTTTGTTTACTTGTGAGAAAAACCTTTCTGTTTCATTTTTCTTCCACATTGAGGAAAGGAAGAGATAATTTCAAATGTGATTCAATGTATCTTTATTGGATGTGATGCAAAATATTTGGCCTAGCTTAGAGCTGTGCAATAATTTTGTTTGAGAATATAATTATAGGAAAACCATAACCATTATTATTTCTTAAAATGATTCTTAACATAATTGGAGTTTGCTTTTGCTGTCGAATTAAGTTATATTCCTAACAAGCTCTTCCTTCAGCTTTGCCCAAGCTCTCAGACAGTATTGATGCTAGATTGGCTTTGGCTACTCTGCTCCTAGAGGATTCTAAAGAGGATGATGCTATTACTTTGCTATCTCCTCCTGAAAATTCTTCTGGTAAAGTTCCTATTCATTTAGTCCAATTAGAGAATTTGCATGCTCTTGCTTTCTCACTTATCTTTCGGTTGCAGCAGTTAATTGCAACCCTGAGAAACCGAAGCAATGGTATTCTAATGTCCAAATCCAATTGAAACTCTGCCACATATATAGAGCTAAGGGGATGCTTAAGGCGTTTGTCAATATATTGCTCCCTTTGGTTCGTGACTCACTTTATGGCAAGACTTTTCCACAAAAGGTAATTGTTTTGTTAATGGCCATAGGCTTGTATGTGCAATTACTGTGTTTGTGGATAACAAATGCCCAACCAGGACCCTTTTTGTTAGTTAAGTTCGACACTCCCTGAGTTGTTATACAGATAATTGAATCATGTTCTCTCAGCAGCCTAATGACTTGTGATACAATTTAGGCAAAGAAAAGGCTGACAACAAGTATTCTACGTAAGAGAGTTAAAATTCTTGAAGTTGGGGGAACCAATGATGTTTTTGATGGCGTCAGACCTCTCGCTTCTCGATCAGATCGGTGAGCACTCACTTAGCTATGGTTTTAAGCCTTCAGTTTTCTGGTTTAAGACATAGTTTTCTTCATGCGGGATGCTGTAGAATCTTAAATTGCCCTAAACAAGTCCTGTGAGAATACGTCCATTTGATATCATTTTTCTCCCTTTTGATTTCATTTCTCGGCCAGTAATGTGCTTTCACTTGTTTCCTCGACATGTGTTGGATTTGGTTTTCTTTTAAGTTAATGCTGATTTAGGATTTTGATTCTTCTTCGCTCCATTAGAGTATTAGAGTCTTGACCGTCTTGCTAGAGCTGCAGGCTTCTTTGTCTTATCAATGTAAAATTATTATCATCATCCTATGTACTTTCTCTTTCCAGTAAAGATTTCTTACAGTACATGTTTACTGATGTGATATCTTTGTGCTAGACTGAAAGCTGCCAGAGCAAGAAGGTTGTTGAAAAAGAAAGAAGAGCAGAAGGCTGCCGCAAGAGCAGAAGGCATTGACTGGAACAGCGATCTTTCTGATGATGACGAGTCTGCGGTAAAAAAGGGCTCTGCAATAGAACTGTGATGAAAAGCTTCACATGCATTTTTACCTGTTCCAACTTATTAAAGCTTTCTTTTTCATGCAATGTCTCACTGAACAGGAAGTTAGAGAACCTCCTCCCCTGCCAAATTTACTGGAGGATGAAGAGCACCACAATCTCATTATTGATGTTTGTACAACTTATCTCTCTTGTACTTCAACTGCAGTCCTTATTAGCTACCATATGTCTGATTATCGACTGTATGCTTTTTCTTGCAATTCTCCAATAGTTGTGCAAGGCCTTACAATCCCTGCAAAGGTACTGGGAAGCACTGGAAATCATTAGCCTGACGAGGAAATTGGCTTCTTCAAACAAACTACCTACTGAAAAGCGACAGGAGCTTCAGTCTCTGGCAGCTCGTAAGTGATTCCACCTTTCTTCTATGATCGATGACCATATTTGCCGATATATATCCATCTTCATTTGTTTATTCTTGGCAGAGATATCTTACTACACTGCCGACCCCAAACACTCTCTTGACTGCGTAAAATCAGTGGTTCAGCAACGACCATACAGTTTTGCTGCCTGGAACTGCTTTTACAAAATAACTTCAAGGTAAAAACTAACAAGCCTGCTCAAAGGTCTATAGTTCTGCCAATCGGCTTGGAAACATGAAAGGGTTTGAGCTAATCTCTGTCGCGTTCTCTTCGGTACTATTTACTACAGATTGGAAAAAACATTTCCAAGGAAGTTCCTGCGGTACATGCGAGCCAAGTATAAGGACTGCGTTCCACCTATTGTAATCTCTGGCCATCAATTTACTGCTGGGAGTCTCCATCAGGATGCTTCAAGAGAATACCTAGAAGCTTATAAACTATTGCCGGAGAACCCTCTGGTCAATCTCTGTGCTGGTAAAGTAGCTCTGTACTTACCTTTTCTTCAGCATCATCAGTTTACTTGACTGGGTATAGAGGTGGCAAATGTGTTTGGATTTGTCGATTGTGTTCATGAATTTCTCCATGCTCTTAAAATGAAATTAGTGGGTTATCTCGATTGAATTGGTTGATCAAATGTTGGACTTAATTTAACCATTTTGTAAAAAGATTTAGAAGATGAAGTAATTCAGCTATTAAATTGTAATTGCGAAGCAAAACTTTCTGTGCATATATGAAAGCTTGGTTCTAAAAATCTAAAATATAAATGCAAATATATTCAAGTTCCAAATGGTAATTCACATAAATCCATCGACCCAATCCACCGATCCGTTGGGGATCAAACAAATTTCGGACTAGATGGATTTCGATTATGTTGATATTTACTGGTTAGATTTGGTTAGGGTTTGCCCCTCTGTCATCAACTTGCATTGCCTCCAATCTGTTGAATGGAACTCTTCTGCTTTCCAGGAACTGCATTGATCAACTTGGCACTCGGGTTCAGGCTTCAGAACAAGCACCAATGCGTTGCACAGGGCCTGGCATTCCTACACAACAATCTTCGCCTTACCAGTGGGAAAAGCCAGGAGGCGCTCTATAATATTGCCAGGGGATATCAGCAAGTTGGGATGTCGACTCTGGCAGTCGCGTACTACGAAAAGGTTCTCTCCATGTCCGAGAAGGACTATCCAATTCCCAAGCATCGGAACGAGGAGAATGTGGAAGAAGGCAGCAGCAACAACACTACTGTTGAGGAAGCTGCAGCAGGAGGATACCGCGACCTGAGAAGGGAGGCAGCTTACAATTTACATTTGATATATATGAAAAGTGGAGCAGTTGATCTTGCTAGGCAGGTACTTAAAACCCACTGCACTTTGTGACCCGGGGTAGATTCGGTATTAACAAAGTAGTACGAGACTGCACTTTGTTTTTCAGAATCGGGACCTTGTAAGCTCTTACCGGAGGTGTAAATAGACAAATTAGAATTTAGTATTAACAAAGTAGTTTCAATTTTCTTGGCCTCTTTAACTCTCTTTTTCCTAGTCGATCTCTCCCATTCTGTTGAAGGTTGACTAAACTGTATTCTATAGGTTGCAGTTGTATACGTCTCGAAAAGTTATGCGAAGTTTTTTTTTTTTTTTTTTTTTTTGTCAACCGGATAATTGAGCGTAAAATAACTGTATGAAGTCTTAAGTCGTAATTTAGTAAAAGAGAGCATTTCTTTTGGATTTTAGGGATTTTGAGGATGCTTTTAGGGATGTTTTTCAGTTTTCAGTGTATATCATGAAAATTATTCTCTTGATAAAAGTTGTAGTTCTTGACAAGTCATGCAAAGTTAATAAGTTTGTCACGATTGGATAATTGAGCGCAAAGATACGAACTTCTCACGTTCTAATGTATATTAGATTTAAATTTATGGACTCTCTAGCAATTCTGTTGCACGATCGTTGTTGTCAGAATTTGTAAACGCGAACGATCGTGAACCCATACTCATACCGGAGGTTGTACCGGAAAAGTAAGTGATGTGAATTTTATACTGAATCCTTAGTTTAGTTGTGGTTCAACCATCTCATATTACTAAAATTGACCAACATTTAAACTCTTGTAGAAAATTTTCTAATTCCAGTACGATATGTTGTTACAAGTAGGGGTGGAAATCGGTACGGTATCGGTATCCAAATACCAAATACCGAAATCCCGAATACCGAATTACACCCTAAACTCAATCCCAATCCCTAAATAATTTCGGTATCCCAATCGGTACTTCGGTATCCCAATCGGTATTATTGAATACAAAATTAATTATCTTGACAATTAATAATTAAATATATAAATTAGATTTGATTGTTTAATTTAGGGCAAAGAGACTAAGTGAATAGCCTTGAGTTTGGCATGAGCTAGGATATGGATAAGGAGAATGGATGAGAGGTGACATCTCAAAATTTTGTCATTGATAATCTTTAATTTGACGAATTGGAGGCTGAGAGACGACTAATACTAGTGTTTGTCTTTTGGTGTAATGAAAATAACAAAATATTAGGCGAGAGACGAGAGTGACTTAAACTAGAAAGTCAAAATTGAGTTGGATATAGACTTATAATTTGTGAAAGAGTAAGGAAAGATCAAAGGTTGTATGCTATATTTCATTAAATTTTCAATTTTCGATATTTCGGTATATATCGATCTCAATCCCGTTATCCCGAATACCGAATAGCACTCCAAAATGAATCCCAATCTCAATCCCTAAAAAATAAGTCGGTATTCGGTAATTCCAAATAGTAATAAATTCGGGACGATATTCGGTATATCCCAAATACTGGTAGCAAACTTCTAGCCCCAGTTAGGCAGTTACAAGTGTTGTATTGCGATTAAACTGGCCACGGTTTATTGAGCCCAATCACAACAGCGCATATCCAATTTTCTTTGGAAGCTAAAATTGCTGCTGCGTATCGAACAAAGGCTGTGTTTGTGTAGAGTGTAGACACGTTGCTTTCGGGGCCTAAAACTGAGGCACGTAGCAGAAGCCAAACACATGCAATGGAATGGAGTCGGAAACAAACAAATCAACCTACGTCCACAAAGAGGAACACCAACAACAATCGCCCCAAACACACATAATCAAAAAAAGGAAGCCTTTCTTGAGTTCTTCCGGTTCTTCCTTAATAACTTCATTTTGAAAGGTCACCTTCCTTCATAATTACATCCAAAGAAGCAAAATTTTCGAGGTATGTTGGCCTTGTTCCTTTACATATTTCGCTTCATCGTCTGGTTTTCTCTAAATCACCACATGGATCCCAATCAACGACATGAAAAATCAATGGCGACTTTGTGAATCTAAGAAGAATGCACCCGAACGAACCCATATCACATCCTGAATGAAAGTGATGTTCTTTTCCATTAGCAGAAAGCTTGCCTGTTTTATGAATGTGTAGATTCATATCCAATCTATTGACGGGGAACGTCTGAAGCGAATCAATCATGTTCTTTCGATCCTGAGTAACAAGCAATGAATTGCATTTTTATTAGATCAACAGAGGAATCATCTGTGGATGAAGAGGATAATACCCAATTGCCCTGTTAGGAAGAGAATGAATGAATGAATGGGATAAGAAAGAAGCAACTGAATTCTGGTTTCTGCTCGCTGTCTTTTCCTAGGAACAAACATGGCAGAACCAAACGATGACAAAGACAGCTCTTCCAAACTCGATCGCTACGATGCATACTTCGAGACGATTCAGTCCAGGAAGAAACTACCACATTCTTTGCAGGAGACTCTGACTGATGCATTTGCTAGGATCCCGGCTTCTTCCTTCCCAAAAGTTCCCGGCGGCAAAGGTAGCTTCAACTTAGAACTTTCTCTCTTGCTTCTTTCTATGTTCTGCGCAGTTTGACATGTATACTTTTTTCCTTTTCCCCCCAAGTCATTGAAATAGACGCAGACACAACTGTCTGCCATGCGGTAAAGGTTCTATCTGAATGCAACATCATGAGTGCACCGGTTAGGAACCCAGGCGCAGGGGACAGTCCTGACTGGAAAGAAAGGTACCTGGGCATCATAGACTATGCAGCAATCATTCTGTGGGTGCTGGAGAGTGCAGAACTTGCGGCGGTAGCTATCTCAGCCAGCACCGCCACCGCTGCTGGCATAGGAGCTGGAGCTGTTGGCGCCATTGGAGCAGTAGCATTGGGGGTGACGGGTCCCGCTGCAATTGCTGGCCTGACTGCAGCAGCTGTAGGTGCTGCTGTGGCTGGTGGTGTGGTGGCCGATAGAGGCGTGGGGAAAGATGCCCCTACAGCAGTTGACAGCTTAGGGAATGACTTCTACAAAGTTATCCTTGAAGAAGAACCCTTCAGATCTACCACTGTAAGTCAATTACTATAAGCATCATTGTGTTCCAGTGAAATTCATTACCCTTTGTTTCTGGGAACCATGCAAAGGTGGTTTTGAACCTACCTGTAAACCATGCAAAGGTTGTTTCAAACAGGCTGCCGTTAACTGATGCTTGCTTGTTGCGTGGTTGGGATGTGGGTGTTATATTCAGGTGAAAACCATCCTAAATTCATACCGGTGGGCTCCATTCCTCCCAGTTGCTACAGACGGTTCAATGTTGAGTGTCTTGCTTTTACTCTCAAAGTATAGGCTGAGAAATGTACCTGTAATTGAACCTGGGAAGCCAGAAGTTAAGAACTTCATCACACAGTCTGCAGTAGTGCAGGGCCTGGAGGAATGCAAAGGAAGGGACTGGTTTGATTGCATAGCGGCATGTCCCCTTTCGGATCTGGGACTCCCTTTCATGTCTCCGGACAAGGTGAAGGCTAGGTCAAATAAAGCATTTGTTCTTCTACCTGGAAAATTATTCACCAGTCTTCAATGATGGAAATGTATGGTTATCTTCCTGGCCAGGTTATCTGCATACAGAGCGACGAATTGATTCTTGAAGCTTTCAAGCTGATGAGGGATAATGAAATTGGCGGTCTTCCAGTGGTGGAAGGGCCGAAAAGGAAGATCGTTGGAAATATAAGCATAAGGGACATCCGATTCTTGCTGCTGAAACGTGAACTATTCACCAATTTCAGGTTGGTTTATAAAGGATAATACTGCGTGACAAACTTGGAATTTCGCTTACTATGGTTCATTCATTTGCTGATATCTCCGCTTTACTGAAACTCTTCCAGGCAGCTTACTGTAAAGGATTTCATGATGACGATCTCAAGTCATGAGAATGGCAAAGTAATGCCGCCCATAACATGCAAATCAGATGCCACTCTCGGCAGTGTGATTCACCATCTTGCTTCAAAATCAGTCCACAGGATCTATGTTGTGGATAACCAAGACGAAGGAGTTGTTGGTGTGATAACACTTCGAGATGTGATATCTTGCTTCATTTACGAGCCGCCAAACCTTTTCGATGTCTACTTCGACACTTCAATCAAAGAAGTTCTCGAAAAGTAATGCATCTGCTGTCAAACTCGCCATGGGGGTTTTCTGAAAGCGGTAGGTCGTCGGAATCTTACCCGAGAGCACATCGTGCTAACTCCCATACCTTATTATCTGTGTCATTCCTTGGTGATAGAATTTATATAAGCAGTAGGTTTGTTGAAGCTGAAAGTAGAGTCCCGGCAATGTTGTGAATTGGCATGTGTATGTATTTCTCATTCTTATCCGACTCCCATCAAACTATATACGGGAATTTTTTTCTGTCTTCTGTCGTTTAACATCATTCTGATTCTTTCTGCATCAGTTTACCTTCCAACACCAGCGTATATAGACAAAAGGAGTTGGATATGGGTCCAACTCTGTTAGCCTCATAGCCACTTGTTCTCCCAAGTCGAAATGCAAGTGGTGCCTAGAAGCACTAAGCAACGAGGCATATACTGAAGTAGATTGCTCTGGTACAATCTCCATTGGATTCTTACCATATTTATTAGCCATGCTCTTAAAAACCTACCATCCTTTGTCAACTTGACCAGTGTGGCTCTGGTACACACTCCATTAGATTCCTAGCTTCATCCATCATCCCATTTCTACCCAGAAGGTCAATCATGCAACCAAAATGCTCTGGTTTGGAAATCAAGCCATATTCATTAGTATTTAGTCATGCTCTTGGAAACCTTCCTTCCTTTGCCAACTTGACCAGTGTGACTGCACAGTGACATAATAGCAGTAAAAGTACCTGAATTCGGCTTCACCTTCTCCTTCAGCATCTGATACAAATTACAAAACTTGAATCCCGAGTTTCTCCCCATTTGCTCCCTACCCTGATATCATGACATTCCAAAATGCTGGATCAATAGGCTTCAGGTCAAATCAATCAAAGGTCTTACTTGCCCAAGAAACACTGCCGCATTTCATATACAGGTCAATCAGTGCAGTCGCCATAAATTCATCAGCATGCCCGTGAATCTCTTTCCCATGCTGCATGGAGGATAGAGATGCACAAGCTGGCAGTAGACTGGTAACAGACTTCAAACTGGGGTTGGTACCAGAAGATTGCGTCTTCCTGAAGAAGTGAACAGCTTCACTAGCCTTATCCAACCCGCTGATCATGGAATTTCATGTTACTGAATCAGGTTACAATCCTTCGGATTCTAATAGTCCAGACGATTTAGCAGGCGTGTCGGTTTAACCATTTAACATAAGACTGGAAATCATTGAGTTCCAGCCTCCAGGCCAACTTGACCGCCCAGCTATGCACCTGCGGGCACAACGCCGCACTGTAGCAACTAGCAAGCAGTCAGAACACTCGACACGGTAACTGAATAGGCCTGAACCCAACTAAACCCACCTATCGGAACAACGAAAAAGCCTCCTTGCGAAGAGCGGTGTTCGCCAAACCCGAGTTAGCGGCATTCTGCGAGGTCAAGCTTCGGCGAGGCATTTCAGCGAACACTTTGCCTGCGTCGTGCGGCAAATGTAGCTTCATGTACATGTTAGTCAGGGAGGTGGCCGAGTGGGTGTGGAGGTGAAAGCCGGATTTGATGAGCTGGGTGTGAAGGATTTGGCCCTGGAGAGTGGAATCAAAGTAGACGCATGCTGTGAAAAGAGGAGGGGAAGTGAACCGGTTGGCGGGAAGCCCGGCGGAACGAAGCAGAGAGTGGAGGGAGATGGATTCTCGGAGTTTAGAGTGCTAACTCTCAGCACCATCCTAACCATTTTTATCACCGTTGTTTGCTTTTAAGTTAAATCAGACCGCGAGAAGCAACAAAATGCGTGTTTGATATTTTTGAAAATTTTAATTTTAATTATTTCTCTCCTCCCTAACATAAAGTAAAAATATACTTCTGGAAAATCACTCCTCGACAAAAACCATAACTTTTCCAAAAAATTATGTGAAATAAAAAAAAATTCGCTACGATCGGATTACCAAGCACAAAGATACGTCCGCTTGAAGTTTCCATATTGATTATGATTGATAAAAAAATATGGCCAAATTGCTGGATGGCGCAGCGATTTTGGACCAAACCGCTCCGAACTCAAGCGGTCATGAAAACCGCCACCTACCCACACGGTTTTCATCGAAAATCGTGCTCCCACCCTGTGATCTTTGTATGAACCACTGGATTGGGTGATAATTTTTGGAAAAGGGTGGATCTTTTAGAAAAAAAAATTTGGAATTTTTTTATAATTATATTTCTGGAAAAAATCCCACTAAGTTAACAAAATGCAAGAGGTAAAGGTGCGATTTTGGAAGGAAAAAAGGAGCGACAATTCCAAGTAGAAACGGTGCCGTTCCAGAAAGAGTAACGGTGGCTGTGTTTCCTGATTGGCATTCTCAAATCTCAATCACGGAAAATTCCAGAAGCCACTTTCGTACATCAAACGCACTGTAATGCTCGGCGGAATGCGTTTGGTCAAAAAAAAAAAAAAAAAATGCTCGGCGGAATGCGGCCATTAGACGCACCAAAATTCATAAAATTTAAAATAAAAAACAAAAACAAAAAAAGATGCCCGTCCCGATGACCGAATTGGAAAAGAAAAACGAAATAGACCATTTAAAAAAAGCAAGGAACAAATATCAGAATTACTTAATAGCGAGGGGTCGAGTTGAGACAGAGATCGCTGACCCGAGCTAAGAGCCAGCCATCCAGCCACCGCCGATTTTACGTTTCCGCTCCTGCCTCGACTTCGGTTTCAATCCTCATGGATCCTTCTCTCTGATACCCGATCATCCTGTTAGCTTCATTCACCCTGTTTGTTTTCCCCTGAAATTCAGCACACAGGCCGTTCTTTTTGGGGAAGAAAGGACAACAAATCGAAGCTAATCGGCCGGCCTCCCGTCGTAATTGGTGAGCTGAGTGCTTGCTTAAATTTCCTACTTTTTGCTTTGATTTCAAGCATGTGCGTTTAGGGTCTAGGGCTCTGGCCATGAAGGATCCCCTCGCTGTTGATTGTTTGAAATTTGTCAAGGTGTGGAGACTTCTGAATTCACGTGTCTTTGCTGGATTGATGCGATGGTCATTAGCTGTGGATCTAGGGTTTCTGTTACTATTCCGTTTCCGCTTTGTCATTGTTGCTTCCGATGGTCTGCAAATGGGTGGTTCGTGTTGTTTTTGTGAACCCTGTGGATGGATAGCGTGTGGGTGAACGTTACGTTGTATGCTATGTTGGATAACTGGGGTGATAGAATGCGAAATTTTGCTTACTGGGTAGTGCTTAATTCCGGTGAGAAGTGAGATGGAGGAGGCAGTCTTGCTTACTGACAGCTTGCTGGTGTTTGTAGCTGGTTAGGATGACGACTCCTTCGAGGAAGAGATTGATGAGGGACTTCAAGAGGCTGCAGCAGGACCCTCCTGCTGGTATTAGCGGTGCTCCCCAAGACAATAATATACTACTCTGGAATGCTGTCATATTTGGGTAAGTGGATAGAGCAATCAACTTGGTTGTGTGCTTCTCTCTGCTTTGCAGTTGGTAAATGGAGTCTGAGTTTCAGGGGAAATGTGGGTGTTTGGTTTTGTTCCTTGTGAACACATTTTACCTGCTAGTTTTCATATTTTCGAGGCCCTTACTCTATTAATTTCATTCTCGCAGGCCGGATGACACCCCATGGGATGGAGGTAAAGTTCAGTCCATAACTACTTTCTTGCCTTTGAAGTAAAAGGACACTTGTGATAGATAGGTGGTTGCTATTTAAGTATATTGTGATATTTATTCTCTAAATGTGACGGGATCTACTATGTCTCTACAGTTGTGCTTTGGTGATTTGCTCAATGTTGGTTATTTGGAGTTTCCGTATGAGTTAACTTCCTCGTAAACATGTATTTGCTTTAACCTCCAGGTACGTTTAAGTTGACACTTCAGTTCACTGAGGATTATCCAAACAAGCCGCCAACAGTGCGGTTTGTCTCCAGAATGTTCCATCCAAATAGTAAGTTAGATTTTCTCTCTAGCTGGTAGCTGTAGTTCTTATGTATCTGTATACCTAATGTCCCCAAGAATGAGATGACAAATTGACAATGGTTTCTGATTCTCTGTTACCCCTTTACATCAGTCTATGCAGATGGGAGCATTTGCTTGGACATCCTACAAAATCAGTGGAGTCCTATTTATGATGTCGCTGCAATACTCACATCAATCCAGGTGATTAATTAACTTCCGAAATGCAGTTATAGTTCCTTTTGTGTTTACCTTGAGATGGAGTTGCTAAACGGAAGCTTTCAAGTGACAACTCTTAGTTTGTGTCTGAGTCATTTGATATGAGTAGAGGGTACATGCATCTGAATCTCATCTTACAGCTTTCTTTGTTACTGAGAGAGCTCAATTTGCTGTGGGTTGTCTTGAAATGTGGAGAATTAGACAGTTTTTTCATAGTTGATTGTCTTTGTTATGTTAAGGACGAGTGGAATTAATCAGCATCGATATGTTCTATTTGCTCACTAGATTGCTCAACTGGCATTTCCATCGTCCTACTAAAGTAGACTAGCTCCATTCTCAAGTTTCACTCTTTCTGACTCCTGCCCATCACTTGGATGGTGTTCCTTACTCAAATCAAGTGTGATTGCTCCATAAAAGCTTCACGTTTTCGTGCTAAGCATGGGTTCTTTAGTTATTCATTCATGATATACTTAATTTTATTTGGCTTTCACTTCTGACAAGCTTTATTATCTTGCATGCAGTCTTTGCTTTGCGATCCAAACCCAAACTCGCCAGCAAATTCAGAAGCCGCAAGGATGTTCAGCGAGAACAAGCGCGAGTACAATCGAAGAGTGCGGGAGATTGTTGAGCAGAGCTGGACTGCCGATTAGGGTTTACTCTGTGGCTTGTAACTCCAAAATGGATGAAGTGTCCAAGTTCAAGTTATAACATTAAAAGACTGACATAAGCGTGTGGTTGTTTTGTTGCTCCTTGGATGTTTTGCTTGCTTGCTTTCCGAGAATGAACTGTTGGCATTCTCATTGCAGTGTTTGTTGTATCAAATCAAATGATCTGCCTTCGCATTTTTTTTTGTATACATGTAGAGTAAGTTTCCTGTTGGGTCTATTCTGGGCGTGGATTGTCAAAACATTGGTTCTTGATCTGCTCCCTCTACTCTGAATCTTGACCTTGGCTGCCTGGTGGGAAGCCTAAGAGAACGTAGGAACTAAAGGTATTGATATAGGTAAAGGATTTCAGGTGGGCGAGGCCTTGCGTGCATTCTGGTAAAGGATTTCTATTATCTATTAACTAGCCAATGTGACGATTCAAGAGACTGGGTGAAGTGTGGAGATCAGACAATACACTATCAAGTGTGGAGACCAGGTGAAAGTGTATCTATTTAGATTTGGAAGGTCTTGCCCAAGGCTGTCAACTCACAGGTCGATCCGCTGATTGGCCTGTTTTGATTCTGACCCGGTAAGAACAATGGGCTACACACCCGCCGAGTCGACCTGCTGCAAGGTTACCAGGTTAAAGGTCACACGATATCATTTTACATTTTGCTTTGTGAAATGCTACTCTTTTACAATTTTCCTTTTCTCCAAACCCTATTTTTGAATTCTAAGTTGAATATTTGAATATTAATAAGTGTGTAGAAACAATATGTTAGATTCAAATATGATATGTTATTTTGGTGTAATGTTATTTTTAATTTGTGCTCCTTACGTATTTGTTTATTCTCTCCTACAATCACATGTAACATTTCACATCGCTTACTTGACGCGAAACGCAGGGAGCCGACTATCGAATTAACAAGATAGGAGGAAACTGACCTCTTCCCAAATAAAATATCATACGCGGTTATCCATCAGAAAAATTCTCCTACAGTTTCCATAATCAATATCACTCAACACATAGATAATAGATTCATCCAAAGTTAGTTGCTTAGTACATGTCTAGATGATGCAATGAAAGTTCAACGAAGAAATACCTACTCGGCGGAGACTTCCCGCAACCACCTCATTCCCGCGCCAATTACCAGTCCTCAATTCTTTAGTTTAATGGCGGCAGTTTTCCAAAGTCAACTAACCAAAGTCTTCTTCCCGCCGTATTTGAAGGCAGAGAATGTTGCGATTATGCAGACAGATACAACATTTTCAGCTGAATTGGAATCTCAAAACCATGTCAAGCAAATCACTAGCCGGCGAAGAAGCTGCAACTCGGCGGCGGCGGCCCGCTGCCATCGAAGCCGATGAGAAGGTGTACGTAGCTGTCGGTAAGGTCGTGAAGGAGAGCAAGTCGGTGCTGACATGGACGCTGCAGAACAATTCTGCCGGAAAGAAGATCTGCATCATTCTTGTTCACCAACCATCCAACAAGCTCCCTCTCTGTAAGTCAGATTCGAGTCACCCTTTTCGAATGAACAGCTTACCGGCATTTTGAGACAGGATTAAGAGGCGGATTTTTATCATAATTATGCAGTTGGTGGGATTCAAGAGGCGGAAACCCGGAAGCGCCATGAGAAGGAAAGGAGTGCTGCTCATAAGATTCTGGATGACTACATCTCAATATGTCAGAAAATGGGGGTAAGTTGTTTATGCTGTCACAACAGTTTATGTTCCCCTGCAACAGTTTCATGATGTGATACTAATGTTCCACAATTGCTGATAAGTCGCAGTTTCGAGCCGAGAAATTGATGGTCGAGAACGATTCGATAGCGAAGGGGATTCTGGAGATCATTTCTAGCTATGGTGTTAGAAACCTTGTTATGGGAGCAGCATCTGATAGTAGATATTCAAGGTAAGAGTATGTTTTCCTATATTCTGCAAAAAAACAGAGCAAGCAGAAATTCTTACCCTGTTCGGAAAATTGAACAAAAAATTGCAGGAACATGATGGAGGTCAAGTCGAGGAAGGCGATATCAGTGCGTCTCCAGGCTCCTGCGCTTTGCCAAATTTGCTTCGTCTGCAAAAGCCGCCTGATCAACATAAGGTACAAGCTAGCTGTTTTTGCCATATGAACAATCGAGGGACCTCCTACAGTAACTTGTGTTTTTTGTAAGTTAGGTAACTTGATTTTTTTTGCATAAATCTAGGCCATCGAAATTTTGAACATGCAATTCTAACCATTGATGGAAATTATAAAAAGAACAGTCTGCGTATGGGCAACCGGCTGTACCGGTTGCACCTCCCGCCGAAAATTCCGCCGGAACTTGGAAGGGGTTTTCTGATGCCCAATTACGGTGTAGGCGGCCAAATTATTTCCATTTTAAAATTAGGTTTTCCAATCCTGAGTGCAGTCGAATCCTTCTGTTCCGTTTGCCGATCTCTGTGTGCTGGTTGCGAGTTCATCGTCGTTCAACTGCTGTCTCTGGGTTTCGTCCATCCGTTCGACCAAGAACAAACAGGGGAGAAGCATAGGAAAAGAAGAGGTATCGGCAATTGCATATTCTCCCACAAGGTATGTGTCTATTAATTAATAGTTTGAATCTTTTTACGATTTCTTTGGCTATGGAGAGTTCCCACGGCGGAAGTCGGCGTCGAGTGACCAGCTGCAATATGCAGACATGGCGGTGATTTTGGGGATAGACTAGGGAACTGGTCTCCGGTATGCAGTTTCTTTCCCCTCTCTTTGCTTTCCGTTGGATGTAAAGTTCTGGATTCAGGGTAGTTCGAATTCGTATCAGAAATCAAATCCATGAAGTTCACGAAATCAAATCAATTTTGGCTTCGGGTTGCCCGCTCAGTCGGAATCCCACCCCACCCCACCCCACCCCACCCCTCTCCTCGAATTTCTTTTGTATAGTGGGAAGGGAAGCGGTTCAGACATATGGGCTGCTTAGTTTTAGTATTTTACTTTTGTTTGGGGCTCTCGGTTGAGATCGAGTTGAGAAAGGGTCAGCTGGTGGCTTTGCTTTTATTGTAAAAAGAAATGGTAGTAGCTTTGATTTTTTTTTTTTAATAAGCAATTGGTAGCTTTGCTGTGCCTGCCTGTGTCCTCTGAAACAATTGGTAGCTTTGCTTCCCTTATTCATTTTGAAAGCAACCCAATTTTTTGGGTTCTAACTCATTGTCGTACATGTTTGATTCAAGTTGTAACTGTAGTTTCTGCTTGTCCACTTTATAGATGAGCAATGTCGATGAAGGTGTCTCCTCCGAACTCAATGATGAAAACCAACAAAGAAAAGAAAAGGTAATTCATTACATCTATTACTGGTCTCCAGGTTAGAGAATCGTCCTTTAGAGATACTCTTTCATTCGCGTTGTGTATTTGGCCATTGTTAACATATGTTTTTTGATCACTTTTAGATTTATCTCCCCATATGCGAGCATGAACATTGGTACTTGGCCATTGTTAACATGGAAATCAAGGAGGTATATCTGCTTGATAGTTATGCTCTAAAGGACGATTCTCCCCGTAAAGAAAAGATAAGGCAGATAGTAAGTTTAACAACATGCTTGTGTTTCCAAGTTAGCAAAATAGTCATATTCTATTTATTTTTAATTTTTGTGCTTTTTTATATATCTTCTTTTTTTAGTTGTCAGTTTTGGATGAAATGTTGCATCATGATAATTTCGAAGCAAAAAGTGAAGAAACCATACCATTATTGAAAACGACTCAATCAAAGCTTCATCACCTTCTTTGATTTCACGATGGGAACGCAGAAGATGTACATACTTGGATGGCACCAACTTATGATTGTGAGGAATTGCAGAAGGCTATAGTGGCTAAAAAATGAAAATAGGTGCGGCGGTGGGAGAGGAGGAAGGAGAGAGGGAGGGGGGATGGGGAAGCGGAAGGAAGGAGAGTGATGGGTGGGGAAGCGGCGTTGTCGCTTAGGATTAGGTTAGGGTTTTTTTAGTTCCTGTATATATATGTTGTGTAGAATTATTAAATGGTACCTGTAATTATCATTTTTACTCATTAAATCATTGAATTATTACTTTATGTGTGTTCTACTATGATATTATAATGTACCGGTTCTCAAACGGTTTTTAAACGGTCTAATGCCGGCTGGACCACTAATGACCGAGCCGTTCACGTTACCGGGTCATACTCCGGCTCGGCTTTGACAGCATTGCCCAAAACTCAACCAACTCCTTACCCTTTGAGGCCTTAGGTCACTAAAATCTCCACAAGCTCAATCTAAAATCAAGACCGAATTGAAACTGGATCGGGTCAAGATCGGACCCGTTCAATTCGAGCCAATTTAATCGGCCCGGACCATATAGCCACAAATAAAAAATTATATCAATATGAATATTAGGAGCCAATTTAATCGGCCCGGACCAAATAGCCACCCGTACTTTTAAGTTGCTAATATTTGCAAAAAAAAATTATATCGATATGAAATTGAGTAAAATATGCTTCAACTAGGAATTGAACCATGCCCAATGCACAATAATATAACAACTCATCCGCTAGCCTATAGTAATAGATTGATGCTAAACTGCAAGCAATATTTTATACCTCAAGTTAATTTATACTAATTTCAGAAGCCTCAATAACGTAAAGCAATGCTAATATTCATTACGTAAAAGAAGGCTCAATTACGTAAGGCTTCCGTAATAACTTTTTACAACTGTTACGTAAATTACACATCCATTACATAAGGCTTCCGTAATGACAGTTGTTTCTTACGTAACAGTTAAATCAGAAGCGTTACGTAAGACTTCCGTAATACCTTCACACTTTACGTAACGTAAGGTTAATATTCATTACGTAAAAGAAGCCTCAATTACGTAAGGCTTCCGTAATGACATTTTAGAACTGTTAAGTAAAATACACATCCATTACGTAAGGCTTCCGTAATACCTTCACACTTTACGTAACGCAAGGTTAATATTCATTACGTAAAAGAAGCCTCAATTACGTAAGGCTTCCGTAATGACATTTTAGAACTGTTACGTAAAATACACATCCATTACGTAAGGCTTCCGTAATACCTTCACACTTTACGTAACGCAAGGTTAATATTCATTACGTAAAAGAAGCCTCTATTACGTAAGGCTTTCGTAATGACATTTTAGAACTGTTACGTAAAATACACATCCATTACGTAAGCTTTCCGTAATACCTTCACACTTTACGTAACGCAAGGTTAATATTCATTACGTAAAAGAAGCCTCTATTACGTAAGGCTTCCGTAATGACAGTTGTTTCTTACGTAACAGTTAAATTAGAAGCGTTACGTAAGACTTCCGTAATACCTTCACACTTTACGTAACGCAAGGTTAATATTCATTACGTAAAAGAAGCCTCTATTACGTAAGGCTTCCGTAATGAGATTTTACAACTGTTACAGAAGATGCACATACGTTACGTAATCGTTACGTAATACCTGTTGTGTTTTACGTAATGCAACCTGTGAAACCTGCTATAGCAGGTAAAAAAAATCAAGTTACCTTACTTCAAGGCATTGTAGGAATTCCCTAACAATCGAATGTGTAATCTGTGAAAAAATGGGTGTATGAATGAAAGGTGTTTGATTTTTCCATGATTGATAATTTCTGACGGCAATAAACCATTTGATGTGGGTATCAGGGAAGGAATTTCCGATGTGGGTAATTACGTGAGGTCTTTCGTTGACCAGCCCAACTTCAATTTCCCGCAAGAACAGCCGACCACGCTTTTCAGATCCCGGTCGGCCGTTCACCGGCGGAGCGGATTGCTACAGCTGGCCACTGATTCGCTCTCGGAAGTGAACGGTGGCTGCTACGGTGGTGGTGGAGGCGGCAGAGTATCGTGTTCCACTACAACGATCACGGACGAAAACGACGGGAATCCATCGACTCCGCGAGACACGTCGGCCGAATTCAACGGGAGCGAGTCGAGGAGCCCTCGGAGCTCCGTCCTGTCGCTGTCTTCCTCCGGCGGGATCGCCGTCGGCAGCGTGGGTGCTAATAGTAATTTCTCCAGGTTCCTAGCGCCGGTGGGAATGGAGTTGATGAACTCGGATTCCGTTTCCAAACACGATGAACCGAATGGTGGTGGTGACCATCTGAAGCGAGCCGTGGGAGATCCGTCGACGTTGTCATCAGGGAATTCGAGGCGGGAATCGCTGGACGACGCAGTGAGACGAGCCAAGGCTGAGAAAGAAGCGTTCGAGGAATTCATCAGCTTGAAGAGAGATGCCCTGGATGAAGCCGTCCGACGAGCCAACGCCGAAAAAGTTGCTTCCGAAGCCATAGAAACGGTAATTTCGGAAAATCGCGCGTTTCGGTGAACTAAAATCGGAAAAACGTAACCTTTCTAAGTTTTAAAGCGTGATTTTACAATGCTATCCGGATTAATTAACTAGAAGCTAAAGTAACCTTCACTTAACCAATTGAAACCTTGCAATTTACAGGCCAAAGCACTGGAGAACCTGCTTTCGGAGGAGTTGAAGCGGAGGAAGGAAACGGAGGCTATCCTCGCAAAAGAGAAGGAGGAACTTCGGGTTGCCTTGGAGCAGAAGAACAGGCTGGACAGACAAATGGCGGATTACTATCAAATGGTGAAAGAGCTGGAGCAGAAGATCATCTCCGCCGTGGAACTCATGAAGCATTACAAGCAAGAACGAGACGAACTGCAGATCGAGCATGACAACCTGACAAAGGAGGCAGAGGAGCTGAAGAGAGCCAGAGCAGAGCAGGCTTCCACTTCGGCAGCAGAACCACCACCCACGACCCAATTGTCGCCTCTGTTCACCGAATCGGAAATCGAGGAAGCCACCGACAATTTTTCCGAATCGGTCAAGATCGGAGAAGGCGGATTCGGCAAGATTTACAAAGCCGAGCTCCGATACACCCAGGTCGCCATCAAGTTGCTCGACCCAAACGGCCTGCAGGGCCCCGCCGAGTTTCACAAGGAGGTAAATTTGGGTGAAATTTTCAGAGTAGAGATTTGAATTTTCAATGGGTTAGCAAAAGATTGAATTTTTCTGTAACGAAAAAATTGCGTAGGTGGATATCCTGAGCAAAATGAGACACCCAAATCTGGTGACTCTGATCGGAGCCTGCCCTGAATCGTACGCTCTGATTTACGAGTACTTACCCAACGGAAGCCTGGAAGACCGGTTGAACCGCAAGGGCGATTCGACGGCGCTGCCGTGGCGAATCCGGCTCCGAATCGCCGCCGAGATCTGCTCCGTCCTGATCTTCCTCCACTCCTGCAAACCGCAGAGCATAGTCCACGGCGACGTCAAGCCGTCCAACATCCTCCTGGACGCCAATTTCGTCAGCAAGCTGAGCGACTTCGGAATCGCCCGCTGGCTACACAATAAAGAAGGGTCGAGCGCGAACCGAACCGTTTTCTGGCGGACCGACCCGAAGGGGACTCTGGCGTACATAGATCCGGAGTTCTTCGGCACCGGGAAGCTGACGGCGAAGTCCGATGTTTACTCGTTTGGGGTAATTCTGCTGCGGCTGCTGACGGGGAGGCCTGCCGTCGGTTTGCCGACAGAGGTGCAGTGCGCGTTGAGCGACGGGCACCTGGAGGAGATTTTGGATCCGTCGGCCGGGGAATGGCCGCTGCGGCGAGCGGAAGAGCTGGCGAAGATGGCGCTGAGGTGTTGCGAGCTGAACCGGCAGAGCCGGCCGGATCTTGCGGCGGAGGTGTGGGGAGTGCTGAAGCTCTTTTTTTTTTTGGACGACAGAGAACGGTGAAGTTGCTCCAGAGTTAAATGCAATGAATGAGGTAATGGCCGTCGAGGATCCGCCGCCGTGGGAGTGAGACTACGGGTAATTAGCATAAATGGTCACAAACCTTTACACTTAGTACAAAACAGTCATAAACCTTTAATTTGTAACCATTTAGTAACAAAACTTTTTTACTTAGAACAAAACGGTCACAAATTAAACAGTGTGACCATTTCATACCAGTTCAAACTTTTGTTACCGTGTCGTTGCAAATTAGACTTTTGGTGACCGTTTTGTACAAATTAAGTTCAAAAGTTTGAACGCTCAATCACCGTTACAATTCACTCTAGTTGTATGGTGGTTTTGTTAATGTAAGTGAATGATATTATGTTGTTTAGGATGACAATGAGAGAACTCAATGGCTCACAAACGGGTTCCAGACGGCTTTTTTGTTGAAAAAACTATGTCTACTTTCTTACTTTCTTTGTATCGAAATTGAAAGGTCAACTGAGGGCATTCTTATTCGGCAAAGCAAATATGTCGATGCAAACATGACCTGACATCTTGTATGTTGTTCAAGTGGTTAGTGTCATATACTTAACGAACAAACTACGCGACCTCAAAACATGACCAACATTTAATTTGTAACGATTCGGTAACAAACCTTTGAACTTAAAACAAAACGGTCATAAATTAAATAGCGGTGACCATTTTATACAATTTCAAAGTTTTGTTACCGTATTGTTACAAATAAAAGGTTTGTAACCATTTTGTACTAAGTACAAAGGTTTGTTACCATTTATGCTAATTACCCGTGAGACTACAGTCTTTCTTTTTAATGTGCGTAGATTGTGTTTGTGGGTTAAGTGGATAATGGTTGATTGCTAATAGGGACTAGGAAGGCAATGAGTTGGGTTGGGTCAGGTTTTGCCAAACTCAAACCCAAATTTAAATTAATTGGCTTAATATTGAAAAGAATTTGGGGCAAAACTCATTGGAATTTGAAAACTCAAACCCAACCTAATTCGTTGGGCATCCGCGGGTTCATGGATACCCATGAGTTTTGTCGAAAAAATTTACAATAACAAGTTCTTATCAAAATAAAAGTCAAATATCAATATCTCAGTACAAATTATCCATATATAAAACACCATTCTAGAAAATCCAAGCAAATCACAAATTAACCATAAAATTGTTCAATACCAAACTAGAAAACTCAAGAAAATTGAAGCAAGTCACAAATTATCAATAAACAACATGATTAATTGAAAGCTTCTTCCTCATTGTCAATTAAGCTTCTTCACTCTCCACTCTATAATATCAACTTCATTCTACGCAATGAAAAAGAAAAAAATTAGACATGTCTCCACAAATCCAAATCCAACCCAACTCGGTGAATAGTGAATGAGTTTAAACACGAACCCCGCCTAAAACCCGTGAACACGAATTTTACCTGCGTTGACCGGGTTGGATCGGGTAGGGTACCCGTGGGTTCGGATTTTGTTGTCATCCCTAATTGATAATCTTGATTTAGTTTGTTGCGAGTCTAAAAACACTATCATATAGTCTAAGGGTGGTTTGATGGAGAATTCTAACGGATTAATATAAAGCAATGGTCCTTTTTGGGATAATTGGGTGAAATTGACCCGTTTGGCTGCATAAAATTTTGATGAAGCAGTTTGGATGAGGGAATACGAATTGACTCGTTTTGAGTCAATTAAATTTTTTCCGGAATGAGGTAGATAATCCCAATTGACTCGTTTTGAGTCAATTAATTTTTTTCCGGAATGAGGTAGATAATCCAAATTGACTCGTTTTAAATAACTCATTTTGCAAAATCCATTGTGTTAGTCAAAATATAATTTGATCTCAACGATTCAACAGACACCGGTCATGGTGTTTTACAGTGGGAACTGTTATAAACGCGCTGCTACGGATCGGGAAATCGCCGGAATCGACAAAGCAAGAATACGAAAGCGAGAATCGAAAACACGACACACGATTTACGTGGTTCACTAACACGATGTGTGTTAGCTACGTCCACGGGCGAGAGAGAGCCGATTTCACTATATCAAGGAGATTACAGATTATAGAGGAGTATGAGAAGTATTTATAGTACTTCTCCATGTGGGTCTAAACCTAATCCAATCTGACAAAGGAAACGGTTACAGACCAGGCCCAGAACCCGAACCCAAATAACATTGAGCCCATACACCGATTACCAGTCGTAGCGGCTGATAGTTCGATTCAAGTCATATCAACAGGAACTCATGTTGATTTTACTCAAAACCACCTTGACTTCTTTGGGCAACAATTACTAAAACATGGTTCACACATCTTTGAACATAATTAAAATAAGGTTGTTTAATTGATGATTTTTTGGGAACATAATACATTAAATTACTTCTACTCCTATGCAGGTTCAGCAAGAGATCCAAACCACGACTTCTTATAGAAAAGATTATAAAACTTGACATTATCATCAATTGTGTTGTTTTGGGAACCCTTGTCAAGAATTGGATGGTAACCATCAAGAGAACTTCCCATTTGATAACTTCCAAAAATAACCGCTCATTTCTTCCCCGTTTGGATGACTTGTCTCCCAATGTGGGGATGAGTGGTTATTGCTCCTTCAACTGTCGAGGTCTTGAAATTTTCATGGATCTCAGAATGCAGCTTGCTTATCTCCTATGTCGTGCCATCCTAGTGAAGGGCTTATCGTCGTCTCGTGCTGCGAACATGGTCCTCTCATTAGCAACCACGTGGTTATCTCACTCGCAATTACATGGCAGCCTCACTCGCGGTTGTGTGGCCTCTTCTCATGACCACATGGTTGCCTCACTCTTGGTCATGATGTATGATCTCATAGCATGTCCCTTCTCAAGTCTTAATATATTTTTGGGCATACGTCCTCGTGGCCACGATACATTATCTCTTGGTATGACCTTTCTTAGGGCTTAGTATATTTTGGCATGTGAGCAAAAATATAAAACCAAAACTGTTTAGTAGTCAAACCTTTTACCTTGTGTAAAATAATATACAAACCTTTTATTTTGTTCAAGATAATAATTAATAGTCAAACCTTTTGAATACAATTTAGGGTTAGTAGCATTTTGTACCCCTCTATTATTACAAATTAACAAACGTACCCTTCTAATTTTTTTACACAAACATACTCTTCTAATATTAAAATATAACAAATATACCCTTCTGTCTAATTATCTGTTAACTGGCCATTAAAAAAGCTGAAAATGACCAAAATACCCCTCATTTACTCTAATTTTGTTTTAATTATTTTATATCCCAACTCAATACATTTGAAAATTAAAAGGATTCCCTAAACCTATCCCCGCCACTCGACTATCCGTCCGTTTGTCTCCCTGACTCGCCTGAATACTCCCCCACCGATTGAATCAGTTGCACTCTCACCGACAGTTGCACCCGGATTTCGACAGCTGGAGAAGAAAGCACCGAGCGAAACAAGATGCCCAGGACAAGACAGTAGCGGCCGGAACAACGATATCTCCTGGAGATAACACAGCAGTGGGGCTCAGCCAAGGTGGCCGCTTTGTTAACGGTCGATTAACAGATGTTTAGACAGTAGCGTATATTTGTTACGTTTTGATACTAAAAGGGTATGTTTGTACAAAAAATTAATAGAGGGTTACGCTTGTTAATTTACAATAGTAGAGAGATACAAATATGCTATTAACCTTATAATTTAATATCTATTCTTCGTCAAAGTTAGCACCGAATGACAAAATCATATACCTCATCACAAAACTAACTAATATATTCTTATTTGATTTAGAAAATTACAAATAATACTTTTAAAAAATAATTAAACTAGAAAAAAAAAATAGAGGTTCATCCTCTTATGTCTTATAGTATGATGAATTTTTTTACTTCGTTTCTTCAACTACTGCTTACTTTTAAAAATAATTAAACTAGAAAAAAATAGAGGTTCATCCTCTTATGTCTTATAGTATGATGAATTTTTTTACTTCGTTTCTTCAACCACTGCTTACTTTCTTCAATTGCAAGCTCCAGCAAAAAAGGTAACAAAAAATACTCTTCCTTTTTTCTGGAATGCTTTTTTCGAATTTCACAATTGAAGAGACTAAACATTTGATGCAGAAAGAGGAAGAGTTCTTGTATGATGGAAAAACGAAGGATTTTAGGCGCAGGAGAAATGAAGATAAATATTAATCGTCGGAGAAGGCAGAAGATGACGACAATTATTACTATTTTTTGTTTATTTTTTATTTTAATGTTATAAATTGTATAAAAATATTTTAATTAATTTTGTATTGAGGTATTAAAACACCTGGATTTATGTTAATTTCGTTAATTATGGCATCAACTCTATTCGGAAAATAGCTATTGAATTGTATTTCAAAAGATTTTGTAATTATTTTATACAAGATAAAAGATTTGACTATTCTTTTGCATAAGATTCAAAGTTTGGCTATTCAATTATTTTGGTACGTCATTTTATACGTCAGCATAATTTGCCACGTCAGAGTTTACTAAGAACCAACACGTCCGAGTCTTCTTCCTCTTTTCAAACTTTTTCTCTGACCTCTCTCTAAGAACCAACACTTCCTGGCACTAGAGGGTTGTGGCCGGCGCCTCTCCGGGACCGGCGGCAGCTCTCCGCCACCCTTACTTGCTTTTGTTTTCAGTTTCTAGCTCTCTTGTTTTCCTCTTTGTTTCTCCAGCCTCTCTTTGGCTTGCTTTCTGTGCTTGTTTGGTTCTCCTTGTGGGTTGTGTTTCTTCTCCTTCATTTGGGTTGATTTTTGGTCCGCTGTTCTGTTGTTTCAGAACTGGAGATGCATGTCCTTTTCTAAGATGCGAGGAGGCTAGATCTGCTCTAGATCTGGCTTGTCTTCTCCTCACCTTTTCCATAGTCTACCTCCTTGTTCTCACCTTGCAGATCTTGGTGGTTCGGAGATGATGCCCATGGTGACGGACGTGGCTTTAGAGAGCTTGAAGACAGAAGATCGTCTTCCCTCTGTTTTCCTCCGCCGCCGACCGATTGAGTTTGTTTGGTTTCCCCTGGGTTGAGCTCGGCGGGAGGCTGACGGTTTGTTTGGCTCGGGGGTGGTGCGTTTGTAGATCTGTCTCTTTCTCCCTACCATCTGAGTTTGGCTAGAACCCGCTACTTGGCTCGACGATTAGTGGCGATGTCATGGCGATGTTGCCTGGTTCGGGTGAGCGGTGGCGGCGGCAATTTCGGCCACGGCGGCGGGGATCACAGAGGGGGCAATGGCGGCTAGGGTTGGAGGATTAGAGGAATGTTTTGGGTCCTGGGCTTAGAGCTCTATTGAGTTCCGGGCTTAGTTTGGGCCTGCTTTCTTCTATTTTTTCAGCCTTGATTGTTTAATCGTTGTATCTTTTCCTTTGGGCCTGGCCCGCTGCATTCTTAATGAGATCCAACTTAAAAAAAAAGTCTACTAATATCCTAAAATATGAGTGGTAATTTTCTTAGATTAACTCTTAAAAAAATTATATAAGAAACGAAATTGTGCTCACAAAAGCAATCCATACCAATCAAACAAGCCGTAAAGTAAACAACTTTCTTCCTTAAGTAGTAGGGTAACCCTGGGAATTGAATTTGATTGATTGTATAACTCCAGAATCCAGGTAGTCCTTTAATGAGAGACCCACGAACGGCGCCGTCTTCAGGATGTTGGTTTCTTTCTTTTTCTGCTTCAGTTGCCGAGTCGCTATCCTTTCGTCTCCTTCTTCTTGTATACCCAAATAAAGTTAAGAGCTTTGCTGCGCTGTTCATATCAAGTTTCAGGCTTTTGCTTTTTTGTCTGCTTCTGATGCTCAAAGAAACGGCATCTGATGCAAAACTAAGACCGAAACTTCTACTCGGGTTACTATTCTAGGCTTCTTTTCGTATTCTGCTCGCTTCTCTTTTCGATGACCAACCGCTAGGCTAGATCTCTTAAAAAAGCTCACTGGTTCGTTTGTTTTCTATGTACTGATTTTCTGCCATGGCCACTTCTTGAACTCATGAGTTGGGTATTGATGAAGTGTTTAGTAAGTTGGTAGTGTTAAAAAGCCGGTGCATTTTCAAGGGAAGTTCAGATCTAGCCCTCTCCTAACTCTGCTGGGGCTTACATGCAGGATCTCTCTTCTACTTTCTTAGCCTTTTGGTGACCAAGTTTCTTCTGCAAGTCTGGAGTCGTGTTTGCAGTCATTGACCTCAATTTGAAGGAAAGGTAAATGTGGGTTGCTGCAATTGAATTCTTTTGTGGAGAGTTTTGGTTTTGGTGGGTCTAGGGTTCTGTATGTGGTTCATGTAGCTGCTGTAGGCAGTTGGTAGCATCTTTATATGGCGAGAACCGAAGTTTGGCATCTATCTAATCCAGCAGTTTATGCCAATTTGTCAGCATGTCTGAGTTTTTCGGTGTGATGATTATGCAGAGATTAGACTTGTGGAGTTGGCTCGTTCACCCTTTTGGCAATGGGGAAATCTCCAGGGAAGTGGTTGAAGTCCTTAATTCGTGGGAAGAAGTCATCAAAATCTAGCCTTTCGAAAGAAAAGGAAGTTTTGGTGAGTAGTGTCTTGTGACCTTACTCGCCCTGTGTAAGATCATGTTTTCTTTTGGGGGACCCAATAACAAGTCCAGTTCTCGAGTAATTTGGAATGGTTCATGAATTTCTCGAGAGAGCAAAATTCTAACACTCCTTTTGGTTCATGGCTGTTTAGAAACCAAATAATGGAGAGGCATTCGTTCCCTCGAAAGCACCTTTAACAGATTTGAAGGGAAATCCTCAAACAGACACAGTTACACAATCAGTTCCGGGAGTTGGAGATGGGAGTGGAGTGAATTCAGAAGGTGCTGCAATTGCCGAGTCACGGGATGAGAAGGTTGCTATTGTCTGTGAAAATGAAGGTGAAAATGGGAGCCTAGCAACTAGTTCGAGTAAAGTTTCCGAGACAGTGAGGCTTGAGCAAACTGGAGTGATGGCACAGGCAGATGTTAGCGGCTATCTGGTACCCTTTGTTTCCCTTAGTTATCCTGTTTTAGCATTTCTGTAACTGTAGTTTCCGTCTTCATTATGCTAATATGTTCAACTTCCACTCTTAACTATTCATTGAAATTTGTTCTAAAGGTCTCTGAGTCGACGCACCTAGCCTATGTCACATAAGCTTTGTCAATGAAGTGTTTTAACTATTATTTGTTGTCCCTTCAGTGGTACCGTTTCCAGTTTCTTGTTACTTGGATTAGTTCCATTCTTTAAATGAGGCAACGTCCAGCTCCTGCGAGCCAATTTCTCTCAATATGTATTTCTTACCTCTTACAGTAGGTAGTATATGAATTCAGTTTACTGGCCTCATTTTCCTATAACCTAGCTTCTCGTGACTGAAGAGTTTGACTGCTTATTCTGTTGCCAATCAAACATCATATTCAGTATTCACAGCTGGTTCGGGGAATTCTTCAGTTGCCTATGTAATTACCTTATGCAGGAAACACCTGTTTTTCGGTTGGTTGTTTTTGATCGATTGACCTTCATGTTTTTTTGAAGTCCCCCCATGATTCCGAAGAGCAAGGACATATAATAAGGTTGCAGTCAGTTATCCGTGGCCAACTGGTTAGAAGGCAAGCTGTTGCTACCTTGAATTCTGTTTTGGCCATCATAAAGTTTCAAGCACTAGTTCGAGGTCAAAATGTTCGATGTTCAAGTCTCGGTATTGAAGTGCAGAAGACGATCAGCCTTGCAAAACTTCTGGTAATAATTGCATAGTTCTGGACCTTAAGTAGCTTGGCAGTACAACAATGACTATATTTGTTCTGATGTTCATGCTATAGACTAGTGATGCGATTATGACTGTGCCATTTGACTTCCTCGCTTTTACAGCATTATTTAACAATGGTTGTTAAGTACTTCATGTGATTATGATGTATCAGGCTTCAAATGCAGCTCAAGGACATCCTAAATGCTCATTATTAGGACAGAAGTTTGAGAATGCCTTTGTTAGAATGGTGAGATTTAACTGAACTCCATTGTCCCTAAGCGACACTAGCGAGTGATTTTTGTAATAGTCACTTAATTTCTAGGTTTGCAACTCTTCTGTTCTTCTACAGCTTTTAACTTCAACAGCTAGTGCAATGCCTCTATTCCTCAAGTATGCTCCTGGGGAACCCAACTCAGCCATGATGTGGCTGGATCGCTGGACAAAGTCAGAATTCTGGAAACATATTTCACAACAGAAGATCAACCTGGAATCAAACTCCACAACTAAGCAAGACAGTGTACAAAGAGTTGAAAGTCAACGAGGCAGGCAAAAACAAGCTATCCGGAAGTCATCTAGTCCTAATGTTGCCAATGGCATACATGGGAAGAATTTGGAGTCCAACAAACCAAAACACAATCCTAGAAAGTTCACTAGCCATACTGTAGATGTGGCCAACAAGAAGCATTCAGAAACAGAACCAGAGCCAGTTAAGGTAAAGCATACTTCGAGAAAGGCTTCTGGGTCTGCAACGAAAGCTGTGGAAAGAGTTGACGATAGTAAACCAAAGCTCAGTGCAAAGAAGACTTCTGGTACTTGTGCACTTGAGGCTTTAGAGCAGCTGGGCAGTCATGTTTCTGTTGATGTGGCAAAAGATATTCCAGTGGCAGTTTCAGGTGAAGAAGCTGATGTAGTCCCGAGTCCAAAACTGAAGGCCACGGAGGATATGCCAACTCCAGAGGTGAATGGGATACTTGCTAATTTAGAAGAGAATAATAATATACTGTTGGATCCACATGATGGGCTTGCAGGAAGCGAGAACCTGAAAACAAGCGAAAGAAGAGCATCATTGCCAGCCAATATTGAGCAGCAGGAGAATGGTGGGCTTGGGACACCCAAACGTCCAAGTTATATGGCACCAACTGAATCTGCAAGGGCTAAGCTGAGAGCTCAAGGATCTCCAATGTTCCCACAAGATGTAGTAGTTGAGAAGAATGGCACAGCAACTAGACGACATTCACTGCCATCTTCCATCAATGAGAAGTGTGCTTCCATGTCGCCACGAGCTCATAACAGATCTGTCAACTCAGCAAGTAAAGGGTTTATCAGGAGTGATAGATCGCTAACCACTTCCAGAGACGGCAGTGGTAAGAACCATCTAGCAACAAAAATTTGTTACTGAGTACAATTGCTCACTCTAGTTTGTTTTCACTGTATAGTAAATTAAATAACGACATCTTCAAGTTCTAACGTCAGCTATTTCCTTTATGCCAGTTTCGGACAGGACGATTAGACCCGAGTGGAGAAGGTGATTTGGAAGGAGTTGTGTTCTGCATGAATGCTACGAAGGAAAAAGGCGTCGATTTGAACGTGTTCTGAGGTAGATGTAATTAGATGTTGATGTGGGAAGCATTTTGTGTTTTTGTTTGTGATTATCATGTTTAGGGTGAATAGCTACAAACCTCAGGCCGATGCTAAAAAAAAACTATGTTTCTAAATTGTCTTTTTTTGTGGCTTGTGATGCATGAGATGTTTTGGACATACAAACTTAGCAATTTCAAAATAAATGTTATGTTTGTTGGAAAAGGGCATCACTTGCCTCCATAATGTGCCATGACTTGATGCCAAAAGGTGGGCGAGATGAGAAAACTTGGGGCAATTGCACTCTTCTTGAAGGGAGAAGACAGAAGAGTGACTCGAACAGAGACCTCAAGGACCAGACGACAAGATTATTTGATGAAACTAATGTTTGTTCTTTGTTGAGACCTCTCTAGCATATGAATGTCAAATGACCCCCTAGAGTTCCCTCAAACACTTCAGTAGGGCGAAAGAGTATAGAGCCTCCAATGAAGTGGTCAAGGGAACTCTAGTAGACATTTGACTTCCTGGGTTTGGTTCTGGTTTTTATGAATGTCAAATGGCCCCTAGAGTTCCCCCAAACACTTCAGTAGGGCAAAAGAGTATAGAGCCTCCAATGAAGTGGTCAAGGGAACTCCAGTAGACATTTGACTGTCTACTAAGTTTGGTTCTGGTTTCTATGAATGTCAAATGACCCCCTAGAGTTGACTTCCTGGGTTTGGTTCTGGTTTCTATGAATGTCAAATGGCCCCCTAGAGTTCCCCCAAACACTTCAGTAGGGCAAAAGAGTATAGAGCCCCCAATGAAGTGGTCAAGGGAACTCCAGTGGACATTTGATTTCTTGAGTTTGGTTCTGGTTTCTATGTTAGGCAGATATGATAGCATCTATTTATATATGTATAGGCTGTCTGTAGTATGGCCTAGTTATTCACCAACCTACCCTTCTAGGCCTATAGAGTGACCAACTACCACAGGAGGGTGAATCTAGATAGAATTATGGGCAGAATGGAAGTTCGAAAGAGAATATGACTCTTGACGAGGGTAAACTGGAACCATATTCCCTTATATTCCAATTCTTCTTCCCACATTTCTGTCCACATTCAAAACGACCATTCCTTACCTTCCACAGTCATCATTGACAAAATCTAACAAGCGATGTAAGAGATGCAGAGACAGCCATAGATTAAGGGAAACTCTCAAGATGCATTGCCCATGTAACCATCTCTGTTTCATTACAATAGCAAGGTGGTCTGGGATTTTATTAAACCTTATTGGTTTAGTTTTGCTAAAAAGTCTCAAGTCATCGTTCAAACCAAACAGAAGCATAAAGTGAGGTTCCGGGAGTCCAGGTAGTGTGGAACTGATGGAAACCCATTGTCTAATTATCTAAACCAAATCATAAGATTGATTTAATCTACAAAATATATCTAAGACCTATGATTCACTCATCATGGATTATGGTACAGTATGCTCCAAAATTTAGTTAATTCAATGTCTAGATAATATTTTCTTGCTAAGGGTATGCCATACCTTGAATTTTATTCAATGTACCATAGAATGCACTATATATATGGTGACTACTTCGGCGCACTCACAAAAATAGTACGTTCAATGCACCCAATTCAAAAACTAGTCTTAAGGAGTCTGATTTTGAATTTTAATTTGTAGAATTAGTATAATATGATGATATAACATATGATAACAACTAATTAGCGGATTACCCTAAGCTCTAGACCTCCAATTTTGAGTTCTATCCCTAAACCCCAAACTGTAAACCCTAACCCTAGATCTTTAAACTCTAAATCCTTCAAATTAAAACAAATCTTTCATGGTTTTTGTGCAAATTCATATGCGTTATTGTTCATCACATTATAAGTGATGATTGACATCATTTTGACATAAATCTCATGTTTAAAATGACGATTATGAAGCGAGTGCACTGAATACACCCAAAAAAGTGAGTGCACCGAAGACGCCACCCTATATATATATATAGTGGATACTTCAATATACTCACTTTTTTGCTCTAAAAGTGGTTATAATACATCGAATTTTAAACTTTAATTGGTAGCATTAATGTAGTATGATGATATAATATAGAATCACAACTAATCAATCCATTACGCTAACCTATTAATCTTCAATTTTGAATCTCAACCCTGAGTCATTCAAATTAAAGTCAATCTTGAATGTTTTTTTTTAGAAATTCATGTATTTTCTTGTCCACCTTACCACAAGTGATAATTGACATCGTTTTCACACGAATCGCTTGCTCAGAATATCGATCATGAGGTGAGTGCATTGAATGCAAAAAAGTGAGTGCATATATATAAGACAAAACCATATATATATATATGGTGGCTTATGATGTTTTGAACAAGAAACACATGAATTTGCAAAAAAACTCATTCAAAATTTACTTTAATTTAAAATATTTAGGATTTAGCGATTTAGGGTTAGGGTTTACGTTTATAATTTAGTAGTATGCTATACTCCACGTGAGATATCTTTATCCAGACCATAAATTTAATCGAGTTTGGGTTATAATACTGTATCCTAACCTTTAATGGATACAATCCAGGCCCTGATTTTCTAAACTCAAACCTGAAGTTCGATTTAATGGAAAACAATAATTGACCGTTGAAATTGATTGGAGCTCATCGAAGTACTAATGGCCAAATCACCTGGAGTATACTATACTCCTAGAGTGAGTTCACACTATTGTACGCCCTTCGTGTTTTAAAATTTAGACCACAAATTAACCAGAGTTTGGAACATGATACTATACTATAACCTCTAATGGGTGAAACCAGTCCCTAATTTTCTAAATCAAATTATAAAATTCATTTAATCTAAACAAATAATAATCAGCGGTTTTTATTTGTCAAAATATATCAAATTACATATAACAAGTGTGAACGCATGAGTATAGCATACGTCAGTTGTCCCAAATATTCTGTTAATTTGAGGTCTAGATAGCGTTTTCATACCAAGGGTATGTGTTGAGTGGCATAGCCAGGATTTTGTCAAGGGTGGGTCCATTTAGAAAAATATACATACGATAAAATAGTTTTATTAGCTTTTTATATAATTCATGATATAACTTTGTATTTACAAAAACTTGATAAACTAAATATATGTCAAAACTAATATTCTATATGTGTATTAAACAATTATTCATGATTTAGTTAGACCTTTATTTTTGAATGGTGTTCTTTGTCAAGACCGTTTAGTATCAATAACTCAAGTCGTTGAAAAAGATTTAATAATTGATCTTATACCATTTAGTATTTACTAACATTTCCCCACTAATGAAAACCGACATATACGTGCTTAAAGTTTTATTGTCAATTACCATTTCCCCACTAAAGTATTTACTAAGATATGGAGTTGCCAAGATTTGAAAACATTATCTATCGGTCGGTCATTCTCAATTAGAACACTACAAGGAACTTGATATACGACACCGCTTTAAAGCCAGCGGTTCTCATAACCCCTGCCGCATTTATGCGGATTAAGTATAGCAGGGATCCCATCCAGCGGTTTTGGAAACTGCTTTAAGATTACAGGTTCCCAGTAAAAAAAAACTGCTTTTGGATTCACACGCATAAAATCCCAACAATTATTAATACAAAAAAATCCCACTCGTGTCATTCTCTACTCTGTTCTCCCAAAAACAAATTCCTAACCCTAGATCCGGACACCGCCGATTTCTAATCCAGTGGACGAATTCACCAGCGTTCTTTCCTAATCCGCTGGCGACCACCGTCGAGAGCTGTTCTTCTCCATCGATTTCTCATCGGCAGCGACGAAACCCCTAGCCTCAGCTGGAGCAGCTTGATAGTCTCGTGACTACTCTGCCAATGATTCAAGATATGCACACCTGGTTGTTCGGGAAGGTAGCTGATTCTGAGTTCTTGTGCGAAATCGCGCAAGAGATATGTGCGTCAAACTTATTCATCTATTTGTCTCCCTGATTTGTTCGTTTTTCACCTCTCTAATTTCTCATCCTGTTCATCTTCTCGCAATTGTTTGCTTGAAGGTTTCCAATTGGGGGAGCCAACTTAATCCAACGTGCGGGGGCACTGTTTACCGAATACATATGGTATCGGCAGAGGAGTCCTCCAACGTTTGCAGCCTTTGTTTGCAGTTGTTCGACCCGAATATCACAGGCGCAGGGTCCTGTCAAAGTCCTGACTCCTGACCAAGGCCAGGAGAGGTAATTAGTTGATTTTGAGTTCAGCCAGAAATCTTAGTTGTTCTTAGTGTGGGACTATAAGGATACGAGTAATTAGTGGCCGAAATGAATCAGTAGGTGAGAGTCAAGATTCCATCCAATTGTTACAGTATACGAGCTATAAAAAAATCATCATCTTCTTCATTTAGTTTGATCATTTTGGTATGATGATCAATTGTGTTAAGATTACTAGGAGATGCAGATTGCAGAAGCCCTGAAAGTAATCTCTCTAATTTGGCTTTATAGTTAGTTTGCCAATTGCTAGGATTTTTTTATAAAAGATTTAAGTAATTTAGAGGTCGCGTTGTAGTGTGGTTAATTAGGATGTAGTTCATTTTCTTCTGGATGATCTCATAGTCAGAAATGTTTGCATGCTCTTACTCTATTTCAGGTTTTCAAACATTGGCTGCAGAAATCGTTCATGAACAAAGAATCCTTTGTGCAAGTCCAACTACAACATTTGAAGGAGAAAATTATTAAGGGTAGTTTTCAATGCCAAGTCTTTGTGTTTACCCACTGACTATTAAGTGAAATTCCAATTCAGTGGCCAGCGAATTCGGATTTTGGATTGTTTGCTTTAGTTTGTTGCAGAGTCTGTTTCGAAGGAGGCAAATGATTATTTGGGTTTTTTTCCTGCCCTTTTCATCTCAGCCTGGATTTTCATTCTCATCGGTTATGTTGAGCCCCTCTCTACCTTTTCAATGACTATTTTATGCTTACAGGACCCTATTTGGTTCGGTGCATGAGGTCCAATTCCACAGCTAACCAGGTTAAAACAAGCCAT